ATTCAATATTTCGACATTAATTATGTCATCATCAGGAAATCATTCCTAATTAATAATAATTAATGTCGAAATATTGAATCCCAACACGATGGCCTGTATTTTAATACTTGGAGTATGTATTATACTTTCTTATATGTACGTTTCATTCCAGAAAAAAGTGATTGGTTACCGTATTTAAAATATCTTATACACTAACACGATTATATAAGTGGGCCATATAAAAATGGTAGTTATTAATGATAAATCAAATTTATCATATTTATCATATAAACTGAATTATATATTTTTTATTCTACATATTTATTTTTGGTTTTCAGGTATGTTCAAGTTCTTAAAGGATCCCTTTTATTAACTGTTCTCCATTCATAGCTTCGTCAGGTCTGGCACCACCACCAAGCAAGTTCCTCTGGTCTTCGTGGTCATGTCTGCCTGGAAGATGGTTGATTATTGGTTTAGCAGTATATTAATCAACATATTAAAATGCAACTATGTAAATCGTATCAATAATATTAACATAAACATCGATAGATGCTATATAAAAATCATAAAATCCATTGGTTTGATTATCAGCATAATAACATAATAATGTTAAATCATAAGTATTAGTATTATTAACTTGCAAAAAAACATTATTAACTAACACAAACGTAATAAAATCCAATGTTTTCCCACAAGAAATCATGGATACAGTAGCAATAGATTACAATAGGGAGATTATTGTTAACCACACACACATAGCATACGCACAGCTCTGTGCCTATTTGGCGTTCCATACAAATACATTACGGCCGAACAAGTGTACGGCCGAACCGGACGTCATCCGACTAGCCTATAACTGGCCTATGATTTTTCCTTTTTTTTTAAAATACCATAGTAGAAGACATGCCTTGTGGCCTAGTGTACTGTAATGTAGGCCTAGCTAGTGCATTAAGATGGCGAGAGTTATTTAAGAAAGCCAAGTCGACCAATCAGCGCATAGGGATTTTGATCACTTCGCCGTATGCATATGGTAATGGTACTGTAATGGTTGGAGACTTATATAGCGCATAATACATGGTCTCTATGCGCTCGGGACTAGATGTTGCACTTTACAATAACTTTCTCCTCCCCTAAGGGTCACTTCATGTCTTCAGCAGCCAGTAAACTGGCGGACTTTCATCTGTCCACGACAGGGGCCGAATGAACCAGTACACCGGGGTAGCCCCCTACTCATCTCGAAAGATGTACTGGGTTCTTTAAAGTGCACATGAGCATTTGTGTACACTGGGCCTACGGTTTATAGTCCTTATCCGAGAAGACTTGTTCTACCACCAGAACTATAGGAGCGAGCCGGCCGCGTACCCGTGCCGATATTGTTGGCTATGATCTTGGTGCCCCTGCTTTAACCGCTCGGCCATTTGGCTCGCTCCAAATGGCCGAGCATAGCCACAAAACATTTTTTATTTGGTTTAGCCTTGCATGTAAATTTAAATTTTATAATAATTATTCTGTTCATGTTCAGTATTCTCTTGTCATACAATTTGAAAAAAAAATGTAAAAAATCTTGACAAACATAATTATTACTATAACATTTATGACAGCTAATAATATACCCAGACTATATAGTAAGGCCTCCCATGGGAATGTATAAATTTGGCCTAGAAATTTGTCTGCGCATTTCGGAAAATAAGGGCCGATTTCTGCGCAGATTTTGCCTCAAATTAGGCTTTGTCCTAATCTTAATATAAGATATACATATTGCACAGTCAAAACACAAAAATACTATTCTATTTGAGAGCAACAAAATACCTTACCATACAAAATACCTCATTTTGAATCGGGTCGTGTGTGGCTAATCCCCCCCAGCCCCCTTTTTTTTTTTTATTAAACTTTAAGGGGTTACAAAAGTACTATTTTATATGCTATGAAATACTTTTACCTAGGACTGATACATAGCCTAAACTACTTCACAGCCAATCAACAATGCAAGTTGGGGTATCTAATGGCCAAACCGCCTTCACATTAGTACATAGACATGATTTATTACTTTATTTTGATTATATTTTTTTTTTCATGTTTGTCAATTTAAATAATTTTAAACTGTAATGTAGGGCGTAATAGGAAACTGTTGTGCAGTACCAGCAGTATTGTTTTTCATGGAATTTATCTTTTTCTTCCTGCAGGCACCACCTCAGGCAGTTACCCATGACCAACGTCACGCAGCTGAAGAGATCATTCTCTCTTTCCGAAAGTCTAACAACTCCTTGAGTGTTTGCAGACATATATTTGGTTAGTGACAGAGTACTATATAAATATATAAGATATAAAAATTTAAGTGAGTTATATAATTATATGATGGGCTGTACAGTGGGTCTGTGTTTGTGTAGGAAATAAAATGTATACTGTTGATCAACTTAAAAAGGACGGAACCTTATCAGTACTGTAATCCTCTCTGTAGATACATAGTTTGCTGATCGTCTCTAAAACTTATTCCAATAATTAATCTATAAAATTGATTTATGGTATTTTTAGAATAAAAATACCATAAATCAATTTTATGGTATTTTTAGAATAAAAATAAATCAATTTTATGGTATTTTTAGAATAAAAATACCATAAAATTGATTTATGGTATTTTTAGAATAAAAATACCACAAAATTTATTTATGGTATTTTTATTCTAAAAATACCATAAATCAATTTTATGGTATTTTTAGAATAAAAATGGCCATAAGTGCTCTATTAAGTAAAAATTACTTTTTGTAATAGAGGGAGGGAGGGCAGCCAAAATTTTACTAATGTTTCAATTTTTTGTACTTACATTGTACACAAATAGTTAGAGAGAGTACTCTATCATTTTATATACTTTGCATTTCTATTTTTAATTTATGGATTAATTTGAAAATTACCAATTATTGTTTTTTTTTTTTTTTTTTTTTTTTTTTTTTAAAGCCTTTTTTTTTTTTTATATATAGAGCACAGTAAACATGATTATGTTTTATTCCAAGCTGCAACTACAATTAAAGACACTGTCGTGAGGAATTGGAAAGACTTGGATAAAAATGAGATTGAATCAATTCGATCCTTTCTGCTTCACTTTGTTACAGGAAAAGTCAGGTATCCACTGGATATGTAATTGGAATCTCATTAAACAGCAATTAGGCTTTTTATTAGTCTCCCCAATCAAGTACATTTTAGATAATCGAAAAGCACCAGTGGTGGATCCAGGAATTCAAAATAGAGTGGGGCTGGGGGGGACTTTCACAAATGGAGGGACTAGACCACTTCAGCCCCACCATGGTTGGGGCTTAGGTAAGAAAATTTATGATTATGGCACCTCTAGTTGGCCTGAAATGGCACTCTCAGACTTAAATTTGAAAATAATTTTTTTTTTTTCTATTTTAAAAATAATTTTGAGAAATTTAGTGGGGGATGGGGGGGTGACAGCAATTGGCCACTGAGCACCTCCCTCAAATAAGTTTGGCTTTGGCTGCACCATGTGCTGCGATACTGAAGATGTTGAAAGTGCCTTCACTCAGAGGTGATAGTCATTTTATAGATATCATGGTTTGTTAATGTTATTGTTTTATGATATTTTAATCTTTAATTGAAGAGCAAAATATATGTGATCTACTTCGTGAGTACTGGATAAACCGAGTTTCCTCTCCCAAATGAGAACACCCCTCAAAAAATCATTGAAACCATTGATTTGTGTAACTGTTTATGAATTATCAAACACCATAAATAACTGATTTCACACAGATTGAATACTGTCATACTGATTGGGTTACGGGTGTCGTACAACAAATGGTACAATTTTAATAGTTTCATCATTATAAGCACCATTCTAGAATAAGTGCCTCTCAAATAGGAGCCATATTGAAACCTTAAAAAATGTTGTTAGCACCACATTGTTTATTAGGTCATTTAGGGTTGCCCTAAGTAAGCTACTGCAATTGCCAGTGTTGTACATTTTGTTATTTGAGTTTTAGAATCTGTGTCCAACACATTGTACTGCATACTTTACAGTATCAGTTAAATAAGAAAAGCTTGTTGTGTCAACTTAGCAAATATGACCAAGGAAATAAGCCCCTCCAATTAAAGACCACTTTTTTGTGGTCCCAAGTCAACAAATGTCTTTTATCTTTATTATTCTAGTTAGAGACCAAAGCTGCGAAAGCCCATGAAACCCCGGTCACAAAAGTGGTCTTTAATTAGAGGAAGACCTGTATAAGTAGGATTTAGTCGCATCTAACATTTTTAAGTTAGATTGTCCCTTCATCAGAGCATACAGTATCAAGCCTTTTATGACCTACAATTTTGATTTAGTTTACAGAGTTATGTCCGTGAACAAGTGCTCCAAGCTGTTGCAGTCATCTTCAAACGTGGAACATTAGATGGAAAGAATCGACATCAACTTATGGAAGATGTCACTCAAATGGTTGCTAGTGGAAATCCTCAAATGGTAGATATTTTTTTTATTGCCATTCCGGTCATTCATATATATATATATATATATATATATATATATATATACTCTCTCTTATACACATCTATATGCAATTTTCCCTGTTGGATCAAAAATAGTTATTCGTCTGTCCAGATAACATAATTTTGACGCCAATCCCAATATTGTGGTCTAAAAAAAGCACAATTTTGGGCCATACTAAGCCATAAAAACACTCCCCATCAACCCTACCATTTATTTATTTTGTGACCCTGGCAAAGCCTCTTGGTTCAGACTCACTTGTTGGACTCCTGTCGGCAAATTTCTGGTTAACCAGATTCCTAATCAGGTTCTGTGTTTTCTAAAGATAATAATGTATTGTTTAATAACATGATTATCTTGTTTATATTTAAGCTGCACAGGTTATGTGTTGGTTTATTAATGTTCCTTCTTCTTTGTGATATAAACAATTATTTTATGCTTGTCAAATATTCCCATTAAACCAGACAAAAAAAAATTAGGAAAACTGATATCAACAAAAGCATACACTACAATTGGAAAATGTTCTGTTACAATTGTTGGGTATAACAGTGTGGACAAATATACGATGACATAATGTTAATCATGAAAAAAAAAACACTCAAAAGCACATTTATATAAAACTACTTTTAGCTTATATTATTGTTTTTATTACTTGATTTTTGTTCCTAATTTTATCTGTTTTGTTGATGATGGTAATAATAATACAGGAATTTGATGTTTTAGTATAGTTAGGTCAGATTGATGATGATGCTTTTTCTCACCCTCTGTTCATCCATAAGTTGAATGTTGAAGTAATATCTTATTATCTTTTTCAGCAAACCATTGCTTGCTCTGTTTTGTCAGCCTTATTGAATGAGTTTTCAAGTTCCGCTCGTGCTAGTGACATGGGGCTCAACTGGGAATTCCACACAACCTGCAAGAGAAATTTTGAGGTAAGAATAACAAGTCAATTTGATGATACCTTTAATCAGCACATGCGTGATGATCAATTTATGCAGCACCTTACATCCATACATAGCTATGTCATCCAATAAACCGCATGGTCTCCATGCCAACCAAGGAATCACCTGGTCTTTACCTCCTTCCATGAGCAAGTTGGTGCAACTGAAAAAATACTGTCTGATCATGGTAGGTGCCAGGGGCGGATTTAGAGAGGGGCCGGCCTGGCCCTGTTCCCCCCTCCCCTTTTTGGGAGGTAAAAAAAAGAAAAAAAATGATAGCCCAGAATGCCTCAAATGTTATGTGCAGGTTTCTAGAACACAAAAATTTTGTGGGGGCATGGCCCCGGACCCCCTAGGACAGTGTTGTCTCGAACGGCCCAACTTTTAAAATCTGACGCTGGCCAGCTTTGAACTGGTGTCTTCAGCACAAAAAGAACAATACCCCCCAGCCAACTGCTCAGTCCTTAGCAGTAAACCTTAGTCTTACTGTTATTACCTTTCTTGTAATTAACATTAAACTTCCATCAATTTATTCTTTGTATTTTGTTCTAAAGACCAATGATTTGAAGCAGATCTTTATGCTAGCTGTACAGCTACTGCACCAGTATAGTAGTTTACCTGACCAGCAGAACCCAGAAAGGAAGGCAGTATTCAGCAGATTTCTCAACATCTCCGAGCAGATACTCTGTTGGGACTTCAGTAACATTCGTCATATCCTTTAAAACTACTTAAATCAAGAACTGAATCATTTTGTGTTTTTTGTGAAAAATTTAGCTATTTCATTTCAGGGTTTAAAGTGATCTTTGCGTTTTTAAAAGATTAAAACCTTTTTCAAATTTTGAAAATGATGAGGCTTGTCAAGGGTCCTAAGTGGGAAGAAGCCACTTCTGGGAGATCTGTTTTAATTAGCTTTCTTATACACATGTAACTTTATTTCGCTGTGCATGGTGATACCCACCACCTGCTGACATCTGGGAGGCAATTGATATACAGTAGTAAAAAGATGTAATTATTATAATGAATTTGCAGGAGATGGGTTAGTTTACAAGCCCATAGGCAGAATTTTTAAAGGGGGTTCTAATTTTTCACAAAAGGGCACTTTGAGTCCTTATCCACCCCAGCCCTACCATGGCTGGGGTAAATTTTAAACATATAACACCTCAGATACTCGGAAATGACAGTAAAAATGCCAAATTTCAAATATTTCAAACAATTTCCATGCAAATGGTACTTTTTAACAGTAATTTAAAAGGGCATTTCTTGAAAAGGGGGATTCTTTTGAACTCCTCGAAACCTCCTGGCTACAGGCTTGCTTTATGGGTGGTCTTTGCTTTCTTTCGGGGAGGCCATCTCAATTTTTTTGGGACTCCCACAGCTTGCAGGAGATTTGGGACTCTTGGCATGTTACACAGGATAATTAACGTAACTTCACTGAGCTGAGAAATGTCACACTTGGGCTGCAAACTTGTATATGACATGAAAATTGACCCAAAGTATGAAAAAGATAATAAACCAGTGATATATGTTATTTTATTGATGGCTCTAGTGCGACATGTTACAAGATACAAGATATTTTTTTGACATGCAAACAAGCAAATTCTTTTTTTTTAAGTACAAGACTATGATTCAATTGTATGCATTTCTACAACAAAAGTTTAAAGTGTTTATACATGACATACTGTATTGCCGAACATATTTAAAATTTTAACATAATTAAACATACATTTCCTGAAGTTACTGTACAAAAATACATTTTTAAAAAATTTACATTATTATACAATAATAGTAGCTTTCCTTAGCATTAGACACCAGCCAGACGTAACATGATTGTGTCAACTGACATCCTAATTCAGTTCTTTAAACCGGACAGGAGTTGGCGGCAGACTGTGTTGGACAAGAAGCTTGTGGAACACTTCTTTCAGGTAAGCCAGTTGAAAAACAATGCAACACATTGATAATGCTAATGATACAATTAAGAGCACACATTTTCAGCCAGAAAACGAGGGAAAATATATTATTTAACGCTACGTCCAACCCCTATTCATTGGACATCCCTATTAAGGGGACACTGTATTGGTCCTGAAGGTGTCTCCTTAATTGGGGCTCTACTGTAATTGATAACTAGATAATGCTTTTCACAACAACTGTATATATTATACTTTGTTTTGTCCAAGTCCAGCTGACCATAATGTGTGAGAAAGCCAATTTTAAAAGCTGGTATCTTAAAGCATGGACTTTAGTTTCATGTTTACCATTTATATATTATATTACATAAAAATATTTATTTATAAGCCAATCAAGAACCCTTAAATTTAGCATAGGTCTTTAATATAAGTGACCTGTTGACCGGGCCCTGATTGTAAATGTCGGTGTGCTTGGGAACACAGCAATTTTTTGTCATTATAAAATTTGAGATTTTATTTCTGTTTTGACAGATTCATGGTCTTGTGCGACAGTATCCTGAATTATGCCATCATGCCATGCAGTGTCTTGTGCAACTTGCGTCACTGAGTGGTGGTATCTTTCAGACAGAAGAACAACGCCAGACTTACTTCACTGGTTACATCCAGTGCTTCCTACTCATGCTCTCCAGGTAATAAGAAATACTATCATTTAGTTGCAATTGTGTTGCTGTGGTGGTTGATTTCTGTTTTGGTCATAAGATGCAAGTAATTCCATACTTGTTTAACCATTTTATATATACGTTTAGCAATTTACATTTCTTACTCTTTTTATTTTGTGTATATATTTAATATGTTTAATCATATTTATATATTTATTTTTTTAATGTTGACAATGACATGTATCAATTTCCAAACATTTTGAAGAATAATGATAATATGCCTAACACCCTATGAACAATTTGGAGACCACTCTATAGTGATCTATTACGCTATTTGGTAATTGGGTTGAATTGTAAATCATCCAGTCGAGTCAGATGGTTGAGCAACCAACCATTAACCTACAACCATAATATCGGCGCTGGTTTGAGTGGCATGCTCGTCTATGGTTATGGTGGTGGAAAAGTCTTCTCGGATAAAGACTATAAAACATAGTCTTAGTGTACACAATTGGTTCATATGCACTTTAAAGGAACCCAGTACATCTTCCGATCCGAGTAGGGGATTACCCCGGTGTACTGGTCCATACAGCTCGTTATCCTGTGGTTATGGATCGTTAGTTCCTTTGCAGGATACACCTATGTAAACGTAAATAATAGTAATAATAATAAATTTATGTAAACATAATCCATTTCTTTATATATTGTTTGTGTTTGCCTGAATTTGTTGATGTTGTTTTGTACATCCTGATAAAATAAATTAAATGCTGTGGGGTGTTGTGTAGTAATTAGCAGACTTAAACAACAATACAATTAGACTTCACTAAAATGCAAAGCTGATGAAACTGTTGCTACATATATTTTAGTGTATTCGGTAAGAAAACATAACATACCCTTGATGAGATCGTGGCATATTTAACATAATGAAAATCTTTTTTCTTTCCTTTGAATTTGTCTTTTATTTAGCATTGGTGATATTAATAGCTATGAAGCAGTCGGACTGGCAAGCATCGCAAGTCGTCTGATTGCAGTCTACCCGATTTCCCTGATGGTTTGTCTTCCACCGGACCTTTTGTCTTCTTTCATAAGAAGTCTCTCAACTCTAACAACATACTTTGGAAGACAGGCAGCATTAGAGGAAGCGGTAAGTTGCTAAACAATGGTTGAACAGTTGCTGTTAATATTTAACATATAGAGAGAGCCCTCTGTTGACCTAACTATTGGAATTTCTTTTCATGAACCTCAATGTACAGCAAATAAGTTATACACAAGATCATCTCTTTTTTCGCAATGTTTGAGAAAATAGAATTTTTAGATTATCATTTGCTGGCAGAAATGCACTATATTTAATGTTTTCAAATAGATGCACCCGTGTATTGTTTATTATTTTATAACAGTAAAACATTTTTGAAGTGTACAGATATTAGAATACGCAACAAATAATCCAATAATCAGAAACTGTTCTAGTACAACCTTGTTGCATCAACACGTTCTTCAAACTATCAGTAAAAAAGGTCATTTCTTGATAGGCATTATTTTTTTGCATTTTTTTGCTCATTTCCTTAATGATTTGATGTGTAAAACTTCAGTAGCAGCTGCGTGTGTTCTTTTGTGCTAGCACAGCAACATACCTAAACCACGTTGTAACAGCAAGTCACTAGCTTGTGACATGTGGCCTTATATGATTAATTATATGATATTTAATTATAGTCAGGTATGCTTGAAAGTGCCACAAACTATAAATGCAGGCATGATTGATTGATTGATAGATCGATTGATGAATTTACAGCCATTTTAGGGGCGTAGGCCGGTTTTGGTCTGTAGGCTTTGCAAAATAGCAAAAATTGAGAATGCAGAACAAAATCCCTATTCCAATAAAAACTTAATGATCATTTTTTTTAGTATTTTAACCAACTTTAAGCGAAACTAATTTGCTATCATGAGGGGGGTGCGTCCACACCTCCAGCCTATGTCCATGCATTTTAATAATAGTATAGACACTGCAATTCTGAACCATAATATGTAACCATGACTTTTAGTGGTGCAATTCTTGTTGAATGTGACTTATGCATTTATTATGTAGATCTGTGTGATGAGTCACTAGTGCGACTCCAACCTCCCATGGGAGCAGTTGTTTTTGGGTCGAGCAAGTATTCATGCCAACTTCAAATGTATGTGGGACGTATCAATGATATACAAACTGCAATGATTATGGTGATGATAATTGTTAATAAAGGTGATGATGATATTGATTATGCTACTTATATAATGATGATAATGCATGTAATGTCGATTGAAAAAAGAGGATGGTGTTATTATCATGTAGGCTTGAGGGCCAATGTGGTGATTATAAGATGCAGCTTATAGAATACTCCAGGGAGCTAAGAATGTGTTCCCCAGGGTGCTGAAAATGTGTTCCCCAGGCAAGTTGCAATAACTAGGGTAATTTGATTGGACCTTCGGATTATGTGCTTGAAAATGTCAAGGATTATTTATTATTGAAAAAACAACATGATACTTTTGAAATTTAAGTAAGAGTGACATTATTATTAGTATTTTTTATTATTGTTATTGTTTTATATTATTACTACTGTATTGCTATTGCTCTTCATTTTTTTTTTCAATTTGTATTTTCATATATTATTAATTGTTTACATATTTTTTATTAACATGAACAGTTTGAAAATGAGTTGTTAAAAAAAGTAAAGTTTAGTCTTTAGTTATGGATGCATAAAATAATAAATACTGTCATTATTGTATTAATGTACAGGTACTTTATTATTTTATCATTATCCTGATCCAAAATCTATTTATTCATTTATATAATTGAATCGTGATATAACTTGATAGTCTGGCGAATTGTAACTATACTTGAATAAGTCTAGTTTCCGCCTCTTGCTCGTGATGCCTCTTCGTCTAGGGCATTCTGTCTCGAATAAAGAAACCAGATTAAACCGGTTCCATGTCTGTGGATTTCACATGTAAGCTGTCATTGCTAACTAAAATCAGTTAAGAAGAAGGTGATGACCATTTATGATTCTGCATGAAAAATATCAAGTAGTGCAGTAGCCAAATAGTAGTGGTAATGTTGTTGTTAGTTGATAAAAGTAATATTTTGGGTTGGATATTAAGTAGGGTACCAAATCCATCATTCCACAATTCCTCCATATAACAGTCTTATCTACAGTATTTGTGTTTCAATCAAATCTGTGGTATTAATATATGGCACCGACTTCAGGGTTGAAATATTATTGTAAATTATCTATAGGCAAGGCTGTTTTTAAAGTTTACGAAACTCTATTTTTGAAAGATGGAATTTTGTTTTCTTATTTCACATAATGTTTTTACCAAAAGCATCTAGAAGTTTACCAAACTTTATTTTTGAAAGATGGAAATTTGTTTTCTTATTTCACATAATGTTTTTTTTTTTAAAGCACTTCGGCACACATGAGAAAAAGAAAGTGAATTAAAATATATTTCACAACAATGTGTGTGCTAACAGCCAAATTACTTTGATTATTACTTTTTTGATTTTCAAAATCTTTATTTAAGCAGTAAGGGGGTTCCAAAACCAGGACGTTTAATTGTTTAAAGGTTTTTTTGCAAACGTATGAAAAACGTTTTTCGCCTTAGCATCATCAAGCAAGCAATCAATGTGTAGCATCAACAAGCAAGCAAGCTGTGTGATCATTGTAGTAGTAAGCATATGCAAGCTAAACTAGTGTGATGTTTCACCAAGTAGCAAGCAATGTATACCATACTACAGAATATAAAAACACTCCCAAATTTGATGCAGTGGTTGCTAAATGTGATACAAATTTCACCATGAAAGCTCTCCAAGGCTAAGCTGGTTTAAAAAATGTTCTTTGCTGATAAGTCTTACACAGGATGCACAGGCTCACGGCTCACTACTCCCAGGGACTTTGCATCAGCTGTGACCTGCAAAACGAAAGATTCTAATTGGCTGACATTGCAGGTCACTTCCATACTCAAAATAATCTTCATAACTAGCGCTTTATGTGGAAAAAAATTGAAAAGTGTATGTTTTTATGGTGATATAATTTACACCATGTTTTCTCTTCGAATTTGAATTCCCATTTGAGTAGAAGGTGATAAATTACCTATAATGACTACAAGACTCTTGTTTACTACAAGAACGTAAAGATGTAGGAAAAAACAAAATCAACAATAGGTTTTTAAAGGTCTTCCTATTTTAATATTTCAAAGTAGGCAAGGTCACCCCCAATACCTATCCACCCCTTACATTTACACTATTTTTTTTTAATCCTAAAAATGTACACCATAATAGAAACTTTTTATGAGGTATCATGGAATCATTTGCATAAACTTTAACCTAATTTACATATGCAAATCTTGACACCTGTTAGCCTACTTAATCTACTATAGAACCAGATTCATATGATATTTAAAGCTACATAATGCCACTTGCCTCCCATTTGTTCCTAAAGGAGCACAGCTCCTGGTTATAATTTTTTTTCTTTCTATTTTATATATTTTTTTTAATTTGTATACATTTTTTTTATTTTTATATATTTTGCTTTTAAAATGTATCAATATATCCCATTGTTTAATTGCACCTGTGCAATTATAATCAATATTAACCTTCACCCAATAAACTTATTACACATTTCTGATTAACTCAATGAAGACTCTCTCCTGTGCTTTTATTACTTAGTATACACATCCCGTCTTACGATTACTAATTCATTTGCTGTTCTGATCCTAGTTTCACTAGTTATACTCTAGTCTATTTCTGTCATATAGTTTTACTATTTTGCTTCTAAGTACTTCACACACCTTTCACATTGCATAGTTTTAATATGTCATATCCTATACAGTTTCCATACTTTAATCATTAATATAACATTAAGAAAAGTTTCATTATCAATAACTAATAAGGAAGGGATCATCTTCATTATCATAGTCAACATTTGCGTATTGTTTGGGTTTTCTAAGCTTTTCCCCAGTGGAGTGTCTTCTATGTTTCTTTGTACCCATAGTTTGAGATGCAGACTGATCTTTATGTAAAAAGGGATTTTTACTAGATGCTGTGCTATTTGTTCTACCCGGGTACTTTGGTGCCGGAAGATCATATCTTTGTTGGTACTGTGGGGCTGGTAGATCAGATCTTTCTGGGTACTTTGGCGCTGGGTCATCAGATCTTTCAGGATATTTCGGAGCTGGAACATCAAGTCTTTCGGGGTATTTTGGTGCAGGAGTATCATACCTTCCGGGATACTTCGGCACCGGCGGATCATTGGGAATCATGTAGAAGCTCTCAGATTCTTCTGTCTTGCCCGGTACCTTCAGAGCATTATTAGGTTTGCGATCATTGTTGTCATTTGAGGAGTGTAAGACAATGTGCAAGGTTGCGTTTGGTTGACTGGTGTTATGTGTGTGTAATAAACTGTTACGGTTACTAATGTTATCTAGGTCATCAGTAGCAGCATACAGATGTGCCATCTCATCGTGATTAACTATACTAGCCTGCTGATTGCGGTGCGAATAATTGACCTCCCGGTAGCCACTGCTGCTACTTCTAGAACTGCCACTTATTGACGGTATCGACTGTTTCTGGTTTGTTCGACACTTTCTGATGATCTTTGGGGTACAGAAAAGAGCTATTATTAATAGAGCAAGGAAGGCTATCCCACCAGCATTGAGTAGAATCACCAAAAAGAAACCTCTTTTTTCATTTGGATCCAAGGATAAAAACGAGTTCTCTGGGGTTTCAGTTGGTGTTGCAGCTGTACTTTGGAACTTTGTTCCCACTAGCATTCTAGGTATCTTAATATCTTTAACATTAATCTTTGCCTCAGCATAGGCCAGCAATTGGTAGGGTGTTTTAAGTTCGCAGCGTACGCTCGCAAGATCTAACGACTTTTTTATATTTCCTATATAAATAGTTTTATGGTTCATACTTAGTTTGATGTCTCTGGTATCAGTTAGAACAGAATTGCCATTAATTTTCCAAAATATTTCAGACTTGTAGGATAGGGGTTTGTCTGTCAGGTGACTACATGTAAAGCTTATACTACCGCCCTCTAACGTGAACGCTTCCCTTGGTTTAATACGTATCTCAGCATGGTGTTGGATGCGAAGTGGTCCAATCTTGCACATTGTTACTTTCCTAATTGCCGGACTTGTGGCTTTGCATACAAATACGGCACCTTTGTCTTCTGCAGTGATTGTTCTGTAGTACGTATTTTTGGGGAATACTCCAACTTCATAGATACCGGGTAATGTTGTATTTCCTAACGTCCATTCCAATTTTGCAGCAGGCTTGCCCCCAAACGATTCGCAGATAAAGGAGATGTTTTGTCCTATGATGATCTCGGTCTGGGGTGGTGTTGTCAAACATGTTGGTTGGTTCGCATCTGGTGGTGCTAATATCGTCAAACGTGCAATTATTGAGTACGTCCATTTTTGAGTAATCAGCGAGTAACATCCACAGTTATACTTGCCATCATCGTCCACGCTTAAATCTTGTATTTCCAAATTAAATTCCCCTTTGCTCACATTACCGGTTATAGAATAATGTTCAATGCCTTTACCAACGTTCGTGAAAACATTTAAGCCCTCGCTAATGTATTCCTGCCTGTCAACGCGGTACCAATAAATGCTACATTTCTTTGTATCATTAACACGGCAATTCAGTACAACCGTTTCTCCTTGTAACCGTGTCATTGACTGTGGGTGCTCCAGAATATACGCATAATTTGATATCATTAGTACACTAAGGAAGAGCGTAACAAGTATAGTCCGATCCATTGTAAGTTTGTACAGCAAAGTATTAAGTTTTAAAAACTTTTGATGACAAAAAATGAAATAAGAATCCACAAGAGTGTTTAATTTTTCCAATTAAATTAATTTGTCGAAAAAACATAAACAATATTCAGTAGTACTACTATTGTAGTCTAATTCATGTAGCGAAAGATCCATAAAATTTGTAGAATTCTCCTTCATCAGCTGCTTAGGTACTGGAACAAAAATTTAGCTGAAGTTGAAATTATTTACTTTCCCGAAGAATGTTACATTATGGATACTAAAATAGATGCTCAGTAGAATCAGTTATCTACAGCAGTGCTCTAAAACATTTCAACTTCCTGTCTAAACTTTTATTATAAGTTGGAGTGAAAGGTGTCCGAACTCTTAAAAAAAAGCGTCCTACCCAATTCTGCAAATCACTTTCCAGTAAAGCGTATCAGATGACTAAAATATTGGAAATACTGAAAGTAATGGTACAGGAAAAAAATTGGCAGGCAGTTGAATGAAACACTAACGAGAATAAATTAAACTTCCTGTACAAAAGTACAAATGGAATGCTTCATTCTTTTATGGGGATGATTCTTTTTTCATTATAGAACAGAAATTTTGCTTTCTTTTTATGGATTAAAGAAGATTGTTTATAAACATTTCATTTTTTAATTTGAACACTTTTAGGAAAAACCTAAATATTAGAATGAATTGTGTTTTTTGGATATTTTTTTTTTCAATATTGATTTTGAGATGGTTCATTCCTATTTTGGTATTTTGGATTGACTTCAAAGTTGCAAATCAACTGACTCATCTCACTATCCTGTAATAATCTCCTCCCTATTTTTCCAAATTGTTTAATGTTTAATATTATTGTTATTGTTTTATTATACTATTAATGTTTTTGAGGACCCACAATGGAAATAAGTTTGAACTTTTTTTGTGTGTTATCCTTTGAATTCTGTTTTATCATGTTGTTGTCAGCAAAAAGCTTGCTGTCGAGCCTGGGATTTACAACATCAGTGGAAGGGCATTTCTACAGCAATTGCTGTTGGTGCAGTGGGGAAATTAGAACCCTGATATTTGTACAAGTTCTTAATAAAGTCAATCGATCAATTCATCAATCAATCAATAAATAAATACTATCAATAATACTTTTAATGTTTTGTACTGTTAGTGGTGAATTATACTCTTTTATTTTAATAATAGTAATGTTATCATTAGTCATTAAAGTGCTATCAACTTGTTAGTTTACAGCTGCTGTATGTTGTTATATAATTATTTTTACATACTTTTTATATTTATGTTTTATTTTAGATGCACAAAGATGATATGCTACACCAAGAGGCGTTTGACCTGTTATTAGATTGTTGGACCACTTTAGTGGTGGATACCCATCACTTTCCCAAGGGCTACTTCAGACCATATGCAACAGAAATCTACAACTGCTACTTACAATGCCACCTTGCCGCCCCTGATGGCACAAGAAACCAGGTAGATAGTGATCTTGCTATACTGGGCTTATTTTGTAATGGGATTATTATAGACATAATACCAAAATCTCAACATGCTTAGCTTTTTATGTGGAAATAAGTTTGAACTTTTTTTGTGTTATCCTTTGAATTCTGTTTTATCATGTTGTTGTATTGTATTCAGGGTTTGAATTTCATCAAAACAAAATGCTCCATCAACAAATAGTTGCTGTGGTCTATGGCTTTACTGCAGCAATTTATTCTTTTTCTACAGCAACAAGCTTGGTAAATTGTTTTGAGGATACTGTAGGCCTATTCTATAAATGTAATTGTATAATCCATTGCTAGGCCTGGCTCAGGCAACTCAACAGCAAAAAGCTTGCTGTCGAGCCTGGGATTTACAACATCAGTGGAAGGGCATTTCTACAGCAATTGCTGTTGGTGCAGTGGGGAAATTAGAACCCTGATATTTGTACAAGTTCTTAATAAAGTCAATCGATCAATTCATCAATCAATCAATAAATAAATACTATCAATAATACTTTTAATGTTTTGTACTGTTAGTGGTGAATTATACTCTTTTATTTTAATAATAGTAATGTTATCATTAGTCATTAAAGTGCTATCAACTTGTTAGTTTACAGCTGCTGTATGTTGTTATATAATTATTTTTACATACTTTTTATATTTATGTTTTATTTTAGATGCACAAAGATGATATGCTACACCAAGAGGCGTTTGACCTGTTATTAGATTGTTGGACCACTTTAGTGGTGGATACCCATCACTTTCCCAAGGGCTACTTCAGACCATATGCAACAGAAATTTACAACTGCTACTTACAATGCCACCTTGCCGCCCCTGATGGCACAAGAAACCAGGTAGATAGTGATCTTGCTATACTGGGCTTATTTTGTAATGGGATTATTATAGACATAATACCAAAATCTCAACATGCTTAGCTTTTTATGACTCGTATTATTTTGTATCAAAGAGAGAAAAACAAACTCTAGAATTTACCAAATAATGCAGGACCAAAGTATTTCAAGATTCTTTGCATTCTGCAACTACAGATTGAATTTAAAAAAAAAATCAGGACTGGAAAAAACCCAGAAAACATTTTAATCAAAATCAATAGTTCATACTTAAATGAAATGGAAAAATGAATTTAATAACACAATATATTAAGATGTTCAGTTCATTAATTAACTTCATAAACTACAGCAAAGGGCTATTCGTGTGGTGTTATGTATATTGCAACAAATTTGCCGAAGGAATTAAGTATTTTTCATTGTATCTGTAAACAGCATTGCTTGTGACAAACAGTAGTGAGAACAGATTAGTATTATTAGACTTCAGTAAAATCTTGACAAAGACAGAGTACATAGGTCACAACACCTGTGACTCAGCCTATTCAGGTGCAGCTCGACCAGTGCGTTTTTATATGCTGTATACCCAAAACAAACCTACCAAAGTATTTAACATACTCAATTGAAATCGTTTAGAAATCAGCAGCCCTGTATTATACTTTTAGTTTGTGAATTATGTATAAATTAAATAAAAATTAATCTTGATTTAAATTAAAATAATATCCAGTTCCACTGTTTTACTAATCCTTTTATGGTGTGTTTTGAATGTTAAAGGCATGTGTACACTATGGCGATAAAGATCAACAATAAAAAGCTAAAAAGCAATTGTTCATGTAGAAAATAAAAGAAATAAGAGAAGTTTTCGAACCAGCACAATTCGATAATGATTTATTGTGTATACGATACAAAAATAATTTCACAAATCAAATCAAATGATATCATAATCATGGGAAAACGATAAAAACTTAATAGTAAAAACAATTTGATCGTTTTCCTATGATTATTACGTCATTTGTTTTGATTTGTGAAAATATGTTTTTTATCGTATACACGATAAATCGTTAACGAATGGTGCTGGTGTAAAACTTCTCTTATGTGCAATTGCTTTTTAGCATTTTAACGTTGATGTTATCGTCATAGTATAAACATGCCTTAAACATCTTGAATTTACTAAGTCCACTTGTTGCCTGAATATATTTAGAATTTGACAGACATCCTGTAACCAATCAGTGTTGTCATAAGCACGCAATGGCATTGGCATAGTGAACAGTAGCAGACCATTATAGACAACATAATGAACTATTAAGCAATGATTTCCTTTTTCACTGAATGAAACTGTTGACAAATTCCCGATCAACAATGTTATAAATTCCCAGCTAAACTCTCTCAAAATCCCATAAAAAATAACCCTGAAAAGTCTCTTCAAATACCCTTCGACATAATCTCCTAATGTAAACCTTGATAAGTCCTTGATAAAACCCCCTGACATACCATTGATAAACTCCCTTACAAACCATGTGAATAGGCACCCATTCCGTAATGGCTTGTCATAACCAACATGATCTTCTAACTTCTAACTTAAAATATTTAAATTTGTATGTTTAATATTATTATAGTTGGTATTAATTATGTTTTATTGATAAGATTAAATATAGTTTTATATGAGTATGGTAACTCTGATGAATGAGCAATGTGAGGCCATAAGTGATAAACAATATTGTTTTTAAGAGGCTCCCCTAGATATCAGGTGGCCTACTGCCAGGCTCAGCTTGAAGGCTTATCCCTCTTAAGATAAAGTTGAAATAAAAATTTTAAAAAAAGGATGAATCCCATAAACATGCTCTGAATATTTCATTAAAAATTGCCCTGATGATTTCTCTTGGGGGGAAAAAAACACTAATAAACACGGTGACAAATACTCTTATACAATTTACTAAGAAATACCCAGGCACCCACGCTTACAGACTCTCCTTGAAAGATGGCTGGCATTTTATTGAAAACTGGTGCTTCTTTAATTGCCCTTATAATTTGATTATAGATCTTAGATAGTTTTCTATAATTGCAAGTTAATAATAGCTAAGTTGCCTTGAATGCCATAGGTTTTGAGAAAGCTTGTCATAATACTTCCTCGTCGTGTCAACTATCATTTTTATATCATCTTGTATCTTTATCATCTTCCTCATACTTCCCTTTCTCACATCTTCATCATATTGGTATTTTTTATTCTGAATTTTACTTTTATACAATTTTATTATATATTATTGTAACTTTTTATCATCATCCTTTATATAATATAGATGCTATATGATATTATTTTTATAAGGTTTGGTGGTGGTTCACACAATTGCTGCAGGGTTTTAGCTCTAGAAAACTAAGGGTGGATGATAGGTATTTTAATAATAATAATAAATTTATTCTTATATAGCACAAAATGCAAGAAACCTCTAAGCGCTTTACAATGAAAGGAAAAACCAGATCAAAATAAAAGAAAAATGATTACAACAGTGAAGGAAATCAGGTTAACATTATGAATGAATATTTATTTATTTTATTTTAATCTATTTTATTTATTGATTTATTTATTTTATTTTTATTTATTTATTTTAAGGGGGGGTGTGTGATAACTGTCGCTGTCGCTGGTAGTAGTTGGGATAGTAGACATGACATAAGAAATCAGGAGCATTCGGTCTGTACTGCAAACAAATGCTTAACTAAACCTACCTTTTTACAAGTGGGCCTGAAAATAGGTTCTTATCTATCAGGTTTTTAGTGGGAAATCAAGCTGTTTGTGCTCCTAATTAGGTTCTTAGTAATCAATAAGTTTAAACGGTTTGCTTTGTTATATTTCATTATGATGTATTGTGTTATTCTCTATGGTATTACATAAGCTACCATATACATGGATACACTGTTAGCAAATTATTGAACATAAGAAACAGTCAGTTGTTTAACAACAAGTCACGGGGCGAGAATGCGTTTATGGCCCATACATATTTGTAGTCAATTACGAGGGACCCCTTCGCATTGGAATATCGAGTAATACCATAACCTGTTATATTACTATAATTTAAGTCAAATTCTCTGTCAATTCTAGCAGCCTTTTACTTCATTATTTCAGTATTTTTTTGAATTTAAAAATTGAAGTTTGTAGTGTTGCCTGGCTGTGGATGGAACAGTCTGGGTCAGGAATTGATATTGCATATGAAAGAAATGTTGTCATGAGGGTTCATGTAGAACATATGTGTGAGTTAAAAACAGTATTGGGTGTCTTACTGGACTTTAATATCAAGGCTCTGTTAAAACAGGGCTGTTTATAGAAGAGCTCTCAGAGCCCCTTTAGACTGGGGGCACAGGACTTTTCCCCCTGAGAGAGTATAGGGGTTACGCCACTGGAAACAGTTGCCAATGCATGCCAGAGTGCATTTGACCATGATGATCAGATGATCATCATACTATATCCTCTAATTATTTGTAAATTCAATTAATATTGGTTTGGAATGTATTATTAGTGAAAGTTTAATCACTGATTAAAACATTTAATGAAAAAAACATTAATATTGAGTTCCAGTTAAGGAATATGAACTCACAGAATAGTACTTATTCTGTGAAAATAATAATTCAGATGTTTAGATAAGTTATAAATAACAGAGTTGCCTTGATTATCGTAAGACTTTGAGAAAGTTTGTCGCATTTCCGTGAACTGTCAAATGTCACTTTTTTCTCATCATACTCATTTTCCTTCTTATTTCCCCCTTATCCTCATCTTTATTTTTCTTCTCTACATTTAAAAATAAAAATCCTTTAATCTAAATCTCCCCTAAGTTATGAATTTGCAAAATTAATATGGTACCCTTCAATTTTTTTACATTATCACAGTATAGTAATACATGTCCTTTATGAACTCTTAAAAGAACCGTGTACATGTTGCGATTGAATCTCATTTCCCCGAGGATTATGAGACACTTTCTTATCAGAATCACAAACTACAACATTTGACTTTGATTTACCCAGTTTCCTGTTTACTTCGTTGGCTGAAATGATGAATTTCATAAGGAAACCAGAGATTATTCTGACAAAGGTGCTGTAATACAAATTTTGTACCCTGCAGTAAAATTGTAGAATGTGATATGGCAGCTTTTTTTTTTTTTTATCTAAGAGCTCTTTTTGATAGCTAGGCTTTCATTCATGAATTCTAGTCTGAATAGGAGGGATTTTAAAAAATAGAATATCAAAATAAGGAATAAATGGTCAATTACTAATGTTGAAGGTTGTAACCAGGCTTAAAAATTCAACTCAACTCTATTACAAGTTTATTTTAGACCAAATAAAAGATGAAATGAAATGATATTGGAATAAAATTTTTAGGATTTACTGTAGTAGCCAAGAGACAGCTATAATGTATACAATATACAATGAAGTAGGTGATAATGACTATGATGACAGTGACAGTGACAACAACAAATGTGACTAATTCAAGGACAGTGGTTATTAGTTTAATTGGTGGGCTGGCTATGATGAATAATAAACCTTCTGCTAAAAACTTATTTGAAATTTGTTTACATTTTTTTGTTGTTAAAGTTCATAGTTTTCAATTAAAAATGAAAATTTGTTTATATATATTTTTTTTGGTTAAAGTTTATAGTTTTCAATTAAAAATGAATAATACAATTTTTTTCAATTTTTTTTCATGTAGACCATTAAATTTGCTGGTAATTAGCTTAATGATTTTTATATTTTTAATCAGTGTCTTATTTTAAGTTTATAATTTATTTAATCTTAGTAAATGAACAGTTCAAATTTTAATCACGTTTTCTCCCAGGTGTTACTAAAAGAAGTTTCTCTTTAATTTAAGGTGATTATAATGATAATAGTGCTGATAATCAGGATATGAAATGATATATTTTTTGGTGATTAAATTGACATTAAATTATCTAATCCATGTTTAGACTGATACTGGCTGTGGAGACATCAATGAGGAAGAGGTCAACGAACTGGAGGAAGATGATCATGACCTGTTTGGTGACCAACTCAGCAGTATAGCATTCCTAGGAAGAGCATGTCTTGAACATAGCTTACATCTAAATGTAAAGTAAGTAACAACTATCAGAACCATAAATGTTATTCAATAGAGGTTATATAATTTGAGCATCAAGTGTATCTTACAAGTGTATCTTATATTTATCACCCCCACCCCCCGAGATCTTTCAAAAATAAAGGTTGATAAACAATAAATAAAGGTTGTATAAATATTCTTGTCTTAGCAGTGAAATATTAAAGAATTTGTCATTGTTTTGTAGGCTTCTAGAGGACCGAATACAACGTCTCCACGGACAATTGCAGCGAGTGAAATCACAAGCTACAAGTGGTGACGCACTGATCAACGTTGATAATAAACTAATTATAGACCTATTTGAAGATATTCACTGGCTTGTTCTAATATCAGGTAGGATCGCACATCTTAATTGTAGTTTAATTTGTGTCTATTTCGTTATTATTTTTTGTGAGCCTGCTTGTTGAGGAAGAGGACTGTGTACCAAAGTTAATAATTACAACATGTGATATTCGTATAAGTTCTCTTTTCTGTTAATAGCAGACGACACTTTAGTTTCCTCTTGTTTTTGTTTTATGCAGGGTACCTAATAGCAGACGACGCTAAGGGTGAAACACCTCTGATCCCCTTTGAGATTATGCAATACTCAATTCAAGAAACTCCAAATGTAAATGTTGAAACTACTTTACAAGTGTTAGGGTCACCTGGGCATGCTGTGTCATCCATACCAGGAAGTGAAACAAGTAGTGATAAAGTTGTCAGGTAAATCGCTTAATTTTATCAATGATTGTCAAAAAAAAAGTTCCATTTTCATCATACCAAATAGATTAAGGATCTCCTATTATTTTCATAATTGTTTCAAGGGTATACAACAAATGCTAAGGGGAGTGCATGAACAGTTTGTTTTGTACTCTCTTAATAGTGATGAAAAAATGACCTCACCTTATTAGGCCTAACTAGCCAACCCTGATGAAATGTGGTGGCGTGGCTGGGCAGTAGGACCATCTAGGAATGCCTGAACACATCAGTTGATCAATGATAAAATTTGATTAATAAATTTGATATTTTAACTATGGAATTTAGCCTTACGGTTACCGTATTATCAACCAAAATGCATGGGGTGAATGAGGGCGGGCAATAAACCCTAGAATTAGGCCCAGGCTTATAGTAAAAACAATTTACCTACCGACCATAATTTCACTGTTGTTACTAAATAATTATTAACACATTTTGTTTTTTCGTTGTCAGATTGATAGCTGCTGTGTTTCGTTTGTCTGAAGTTGAGCGACGTGCAATAGAGGCCAATCTGACACACATTCTCAGCCCACAGTTGGGTACTACCATTGTCTGGTTCCTCAAACGATGGTGTCGCTCGTACCTAGTCTTGAATGAGAAATACTACTCGCATGTGAGTTTTAGTTGTTTTTGACATATTTGCTGATAAAACAGAATCATGAATCACAATCCACTAATAAACAATTTAATTTTGACTTTTAACAACTCAATTTATCTCCAGTAGGTAATTTGTCCTTGAGATTTTTTTTTTCTTTTTGTACTACAAATTCCATCGCATTATAGAAGACAATTCATTTCATATTAAAAGATAACTCATCCCATGTTCAAAGACAGCTTATTCCATGTTTAAAGACAGCCAATTAATTACTGTAACAAACTGTATAATATCTATACAATTGTGTAACTATTAACAAATTAACCAACTAATTAACCGGTAATTAACAATTGAAGTCATTTTATGCAAATACATTGATAACTCTAGTAATTGAAACAGATTCTTTTTACACCATCATAGGTAAGCCTACCCATTGTTAGTGCCTTTGGAATGGATACAGCAGGGGCGCAATGGGCAACAAGCTTTCTCCTGGAGAAGGTTATTTCAAATCTATCTGTATGGAGCTCAGAGGGATCACTTGCCAATGATACAATTAATTTATTTGTTACACTTGTTGAGAAAAAAGAAAGGTTGGTCATATGTTTAATGTTCTTTCAATTATCTGTATTAATAGATGCAGTGGCGTATCTGGGGTTACGTGGGGGCGCACCACCCCTCCCCCCCTCCCCCCCCACCCCACCCAAAATCACGGTCAAGTATTTGAATATCACCTAAAACCACCTTATTTTATGAGTTAGCGTCCCTCAACTGATCATTGAGCCCCCCACTTCGCAACCCCCTTCAGCACCCCCACTTACAAACTTCTAGATACGCCACTGACTTGGGGGTCAAGTACCATAATATTTATTAGACTGTATTATGTTTTATTTATTTTGGTATAAATACAACTACAAAAGACAGCATATTGTTTAAATTATATGGAAACAATTTTGTTAGTGTATCCTATAGGAATTATTACATAAACCAATTGGAATATATATGAGGCTTGCCATGCCGAAACCAGCATCAGTGACAAAAATATGAACATTGATTTTAATATATTCATATTCTCTACACAAGCTTTAAAGTGATTGGATTGGATTTATTCGATGTAAACACCAAGGATAGCCCACGAAAGTCTAGAAGAAGACTTATTTCCAGTGGGGTCCTTCTGGTGGTGATTGTGCAGTACACCGGGTGACAATCCCCTACTCTTTTCCGAAGAGTGTACTGCGTTCTTTAACATGCACATGGGCTATAATGCACACGGGACAAAAACGGCTTAAACGTCTCATCCGAAAGACGGTGTGCTATTGTAACTTGTATTTCAGCCCTCTATCTGAAACACAAGGAGAGACAGCGATGAGAATTGAACCGGGGACCTAGAGATCCCCACGGTTCAACGCACACACAGCGGCTACCACCAGATTAGCCGATGGATCATTTACTGAAATTGATTTACTATTGCCAAAGTACAAAGTACGGCTTCTCGGTACTAAAGTGTACAATACTGCCACATTTTTATGCTAATTACTCAGTTTAAAAATTACCAACATTACACTGGTTTGGGATGGCAAGCCTCATATGTCATATCTGCCAGTATCTTTAGAGGTTAATGACTTCTTCACATGCATAGTATGTATATTTACTAACATGCATCTGGTGTATATTTTCTTAATAGGTGCGCAGCAGTGTTGTCGTGCAACCATTTCTGGACATTAGTTAAACATCATCTGTCCTGCCAGCCCCCACTGGACGTCCTGTCAATTGACATTAAGTGCAATGTGATGAAAGCATTGGTGTTAGCTGGGTCCATGGCAAATGATGACGGAACCAAAGACAGGTACAGACAGGAGGTAAGCCATGGGGGTCATCACTTAAAATGTTATATTTGAGGATCAGGATTGTACAGTTGTATATATTATAGTATTGTATAGATGTACGTATAAATCTTTACATGGCAATGCTCCTCCTTACATTGAAAATTTAGTTCACCTTAGGTCTAGTCGGTGCAGTCAGATCCACAGTTGTGCTTCACACTCTATCTAGTAGATTAAAATCTTTGGTGACACAGCATTTTCTGTTGCTGCACCATTACTATGGAATTCCCTGCCTCTTAAAGTTCACAAATCTCCTTCTCTCAACATTTTCAAGAACCGTCTTAAAACACATCTTTTTTCAACTTTTTAATTCTGTTCTACTCAAAGCGCATCTTTGTTTATGCGCTATAGCAAATTTATATACATTACATTAAAATTATCTTATAATGATATTGTACAGTTGTGTAATCAAGTGCAAGGCACTTTATTTACATTGCTTTAGTCTACCCTCTGTATCAATGGGTACCAGCAAAGATTTGATAATTGTATAAAGTGCTATTTCAAAATGCTAATAAAACACAAAGAAACTCTAATAATTACAGTATAATTTTATATAAAACCTAACTTTTAATACATATTATATAAAGGATTTAAACATATAAACAGCATAGATGGTGATCAATATTCATAATTACAGCATTAGTTCTAGAAAATGCATTGCAAACTTGCAAAGACTTGACAAGTCATATTAAACTAGTACTGTACTGCTGTTTTTTAGTGTTTCATATAAGACTAGTATGACTTTTAACTTTGAACATAATATTTGATAATATAATATAAATTTTTTTATTCTTTTAATATCAGATATTGCAACCACTACAAGAAAAGTTCAACAGTTACGTTGATGAAGAATCATTTGATGCCAACGCTACCAACGAACCTGTAATGTCAGATATATGCTTCTGTCTAAGTCTACTTAAGGGCGTGCTGCAAGCAACAAGAGTGGATAACGTGCTTCATCTCCACAACTACTGTTTTCCATTTTTGTCACGTTGCATAGGTCTTGTTAAAGTCTACCAGAATTATCCAGAGGTCATTGTCCTAATTCTTGAAGTGTATGTAGAGTTGGCTAACCGGCAGTTGTGTTATATAAACGAGGTAGGCTTCCTGTTTTCTTATTATGGTTTGAACAAGAGTGAGATAGCAAATTCATTACAAATAACAGTGACATCCACCCTCTTTCTGCCCTAGCCACTATGTAATCATAGACTAAAAATAATCATTACAACATCAATACATTATCAACTAGAGTAGTCACTTTATGTAGTGCATACCTCTGCCATGTGCCTAATGCTTAACAGTACGCAGGCGTGTAAGGCTGATTCCCTTATTTTCTTTTAATGCTGAAGAGTAAGTTCAAGGAGGAAAATTGAATTTCCATGGCATTGACTTTTGGTTCATAATGGAAGTAAATTTATTATATTTTCAGGGGTTTATTTAAGAGCCGGCGGCCGGCGCATTCGATCGGCTACTACGATGTTTTCGCCGGCTACTTCAATCAATGCTGTAAAAATACAAAAAACAACAATATAAATAGTGCAACAGGCCTGTAAAGAACCTTATTTACCTACACGAAGTTAATTTGCAATAGTATGCACTAATTTCGATGTTCCTTTCTGTTGAAAGTTCGTTAAAATGCCTACCAATTTTCAGACTCATGTTTGACTTTCATGAACTTGCGGCGTAAACAAAGTTAAAGTTCAAAGTTCGGCAGTCGCGCCTGGGTGAGCCATCAAAGAAGCCACGCCTCCAAATCACATGTTAGCCATATACTAATTAATGAGGTTGTGATCGTCACTGCATGTGATTGCACATGTGCAACCACTGTGCAGTGTATACTAAGAAGTTCAAATGGGAAACTAATTTTCCGTACCATATGACATACCACGATGTTCAATCATCATCAATCAATGTGTTTGAATCGATATTAGGCCTACAGGAAAACAATTTGTTAATAAAACATTGTTAAACATTGTTCATTATGTAGGATTCTTGAATACCATACAAAATTAGGGAATATCATATGAGTGAGTAGTGTATGTGTGTGTAAACTTGTCTCTTTCTTATCTGTGCCTGGGATAGCCAGCTAAGTCCTGGTCCTAGCAACTGAGGTAGGCTGCAGGCTTATATGGCGCCTAAGCCTGCCAAGGCCTAGATATAGACTACACAGTGGCTGACAGTAGGCCTATCTATCCTAGGCCTAAACTCACGATACGATATTTTCAGCTATTGTATGATATTCCTCTCATGAATTAAATTTAGGCTTTTTGAGATTCGCGAAAGTTTAATGTCGCGAAAACGGCCGAAATTATCAATTCGCGAAAGTTTCTGATTTAAAGTATCTATTTAGGCTAGGCCTATGTATGAAGATACAGTATATGTAAAAATATCAACTTTTTTTACAGCTCATAGTTGATTCTGAAAACTGTTTAAAAAAGAATGATGTAGAGAAATGCCATCAAATGGGCTTAAAAAACTCTAATACCCTGGAGCGCAATGGCGCTTCGCCCCCTTGACCCCCGACCAGGGCTTTGCCCCTGGACCCCGATGGGGGGCCTAGACCCCCCCTATACCCCCGGCCTATTTCAATTTACTCTCCTGTTACTTTCAAATTTCTCCTGCTACTCAAATTCATAAATAAACCCCTGATTTTTAAAACTTTCTTGGGTTACCCTAGGAATTATTTTGTTATCTGTCGTTCTTATATATTTATCTGTTCTTTGTTTTTTGTTTTGTGATTTTAATTCCTGAATAAAATGAAATTAAAAAAAAAAAAGAAATTTTACCTTTGCTTCCCACAAGTTAATCATCTCTTTCTTAGATTATTATGTAGCATTGTACTAAATTGTTATATGTTCTTTTATGTATTGACTATTTGATTTTTTGTGAAAATAAAAATTTCTCAGACTCAGACTCTAATTTCATGATGATCCATTTCTTAGTGTTTGTGTAATCTTGCTATCTGACAGACAGGTGTGAATACATAACCTTCTTGGCGGAGGTAATTATTGATAATATTAGTTTTGTTTGATTCATGATAGGCCTTCTGTTATTATTAACATTACAGACACAGAGCCATAAAGTTTATGAATCCAGTCTTTCATTGCTTCATACGTATTCCAAGTTCAACCTGGGTAAGAAGAGCCGTGAGGTGACAGTTGAGGATGACCGATGCGAGAGTGTGTCCCTCCTCATGGATCTCTTAACTAACCTATTATCAAAGGATTTAATAGGATTTGGTAAGCCATGTGGTTTTCTAGCTCAGCAAGTGTATTCACTCAAGATTCATCACTCATAAACTTAGGCTATTTAGACTAAAATTATATTAGTTTTACAGACTTCATTCTGACCTCTGTACAGATGCTATGATACTGTATGATTCTTTATGTGTGCTTCAGTTTTTCCACCCTGTTCTGTGTACAGTACTTGATTTTAGTCATTGTGTCTATCCACTCCCATCAATCAGTGTTTCACTTAATCAATTTTGACAGACTTGGCCTAGGCATCAAGACCCAGACTTTAATTCCAACATACCTTTCTAAACTTTTGTAGAGCTATCTCGCAACTAAAACAAATTTGTTCCACCTTTTTCTGGTTTCAGAAAACTCAGATATAGATGTGATCCCAACACACCCCTCAAGCCAGGTGTCTGCTGCCGACATCGTGCTTTATGGTCTCAATATAGTGGTTCCTCTGATGGACTTAGAACTTCTCAAGGTATGATGCATGGAGAACATTTTAACTACACTAGCATCTTATACTGTATTTTGCTTTTAAATCCTGGATTAACAAGTTGAAACATACCCATGGATGCAATAGGGATACAAACAAAAACAAACTAAAATGTCATACATTCTGGCAGGCTCATGACACACAAAGACAACACCTTCTTCTATACAAATATATTTATTTTTTTGTCTCTGGTGTACTTTAGTTCCCAGATTTGTGTTCCCAGTACTACAAGCTAGTGACATTCATATGTGAATTGTACCCTGAGAAGGTAACAGTGCTCTCACAAGACCTGTTCAACAGCTTCATGGCTTCCTTGGAGCTAGGCCTTACAAACTTTGGTGGTGATGTAGCCAAATTGTGTTTTGATGCAATAGCTAGCCTGTGTGTGCATTGCCATGGCTTGGAGGACCGCAACAACCCCCTGTGGGGTGCATTGCATGCAATCTTTAAGGTGAGACAAGAACTAAAATTGCTTGGAGTGACATTCATATTATTTGTACTTAAACTCTGTGCACATCCTAGTGATATACCATAAAACCTCAAATTGAAGCCCTGGGCTTCTTTTTTTTTTGCGAACTTTAGATGGGCTTCTTTTCTAGGCTACTTTTGCAAAGTAAAGAGGGTGGGGGGGGGGCTTCTTTTCAAAATGAATGCTGTGAATTTGTAAAATCAATCTGTATCATGGAGTGTATTTAACTGACATTAAGTCACCTAAACTACTGTATAAATCAACCTTGTTTTTAATTTATTTTGTTTATTGAAATTCATGTACAGTGTATGTACAGTACTATCTCAAAAAGAAGCCTATGCTATCTTGTTTTGAGGCTAATTTTGCGAACTAAAGACGAGGGCGTCAATTCGGGATGGGCTTCATATCGAGATTAAGCCCACTGGGCTTCAATTCAAGGTTTTACGGTAGCTTGGTTTTTATTAATAAGACAATCACCACTGCATCTTGGTGGCACTGAATATTTTCCTAGATGAGATTTCAGAAATAAGCATTTAAAATCTTTAATTTCTTGAAGGTGGTGTTTAATCTCCTTGTGCTGGAACCATTTGACACAGAATTGATCAATTGTGCTGCTGAGGCCCTCTATGGTTTAATATGCTGTCATCAGGTAAATAATTTTCAAAATGTTTTTTTAAAACATGGGTGAAATCCTGACAAAATCGTCCAAGCGTTGTAAACAGACTTGGCTATACTTTACCATTAATGGTCCAAATTGATCAGATTCTACACTCCCCAGCGTAGAGCACTGAGGCCACCAAATACAAGCTTTCTATTTCCAAGCATCGAAGACCTGGTTATAGAGCAGGGGTGGGCATAAAATTGGGTTGGCGAGCCAAAGTCTATTTTTTATTTAAAACTGAGGACTGCACCCAAACTTTAATTTTCCAATGTGCTTCCAAAAACCTTCATGGACTGCATTATATACAACTTTATGTTCAGTTCTGCTATTACTTTTAACAGATCAGTGTCTGCCCGTAAAAAGCAAGGGGATGGTTGGCGGCCCGCACACAGAGTTTTCAATTTATTTTTGTGGGCCACAACAAAATCACTGTTGGGCCGCACTTTGCCCACCGGTGTTATAAAGCATCAAGGCTCCCAAATAATCAGCTGTCCACTCCTAAGCCTCATAAGATATGGTTATAAATGATAACCTCTCTACTCCCTTAGCCTTAATGAATGAATTTTGTTTGGTATAAATAAACATGCTAATATAATTCATGCTTCTTATATGATTTTCTTAGACATATTATGCTGAGTTGGTGAACCATTTGTTAAGTACCCAATCAGATCTGGTTTATTACCAGCGTTTAGCAGAGGCATTTAATCAACTAACCCCTGCAGGACAGCCTTTATCATTGGACAGAGCACACAAGGCATCGTTTTACAAGAAACTAGAATCATTCTTATCAACTGTACGTTTACTCATGTGCGTAAAATGATGCTGAAATGATAGTGGCAAATGGGAGAGAATGAAGAGCCATGCTCCGTTCCCTCTACATGCAAGTAATGAAAGCAGAGATTCAAGCAGATTGGGATCCATGCTGAGCTGGTTGAATGTCGTTGCATGAATTGGAGTAGAGATTGTTGGCGGAGGAAATGACTCCATGCCTGTCAATCTCAAAAGATGTTGTGGCAGCAGTAGGTATTAGTATTAGGGAGGTTTCGCTATCCGTAATGGTTTTTAGCCATTCTGTGTTTTTCGCAATCACAGCGGAATTTAAGCGTACGGCCTAGTCCTATTCCATTTTCTTCTGTCATCATGCTTCTCAAAATCAGATTTTGGCATTGGAAATTTGAAGTGATAGCCGAATAATGCTCCTTCCCTCGTTGACAAGAAAAGTTGGATATTTCGTGGTAGGCCCTATTGTTTATGACCAATGCCTGGCTACTGTAAGCGGATTCCTATACGCTGGGCTAAGCCGAAAATCCTGACACCACCAAGCACCAACGTTTTAATACTCCAAATGAGCCGCATCCTATCGTAATTTGCTGTCTTTGAAAGTCACAAAAATGGCATGTACGTATTCAAAGATACATTTATTTGTTGAACTTGCTGTAAAATGTGAAAAAAAAAACGAAGATCCTACTAGAAATTCAAAATTTTCTACGCGTTTTTCGCTTGTGTGCAGTGAGCGAGTTAGTGGATAGCAACCGGTGTACGACATAAATGATGACGTATCCGTCACACTAACCGTATGCGTTTGCATGCGAAACCTCCCTATTATCTACAGAATTTCCTGGTCGTGTGCTGCCGTCAGAGACAGGAATTTCATATCTGACCATGGCATCAAAGTTTGTCTCATGAGGTGTTGACTTCTTTGAATGCATCAGTTGCACAAATATAAATATACAGTAAAAACAAGTTTGAATTGAAATGTTTTATAACAATTTCAATTTTTTAAAATTTTGTTGTATTCATTTTAATTTTTTGGAAATTTTGAAAAAAAGAAAGTATACAGTAATATATTTAAATATTAAATGTGAAGTGTTCCCAAGAAGTGTATGGAAATATAAAAACATTTCTTAGATATGTATCATTATATTATTATTATTTAGCTTTAGAAGGCTAGTCAAAACATTGAAAAATTTATATCCCGACAACTTACTGATTTTCTCAAAATGTTAATTTGTATATTGGGGTTTTGTGGGAACACATCTATTATTCCAGGGAGACAAAGTTCATGGAATGATGGAAATTTAATAATGATTGGCATAGATAGAATGATAGAATTCCTGATCTTTCCTAATACTGAATGATACTGATATTTTTGTATTTTGTATCTACTTGTGCAGAATTAAAATATTTTTTCTGAAGATGTTGGTGCAAATTGGAAAACAGTGTTTGACTAACGAGCTGATGATGAAATAGAAAGCAACTTCATAATTCCACAGAATTTATTTATCAAAATTTCAGTAAGTTTAAGACCAGTTTTTAGCTTATGAGCACATACTGTACTGTATTGCCCATTTTTAGCAAATATTCCTTGACAATGACATGATATGCAGATTTAAAATTTTCATCAATTAATTTATGGCTAGGTTAGAGCACAAAAAATTAATTTGTAACAAAAGCAAATGACACTCGCATGCATTTATTGCCAGATGCAACAACTATTTATAATTAATAAAATCAAAGTAAAGAGAAATAACTGATTTAAAACAATTTTAGAGTACTGATTTTTTTTGTGACATTTACACAGCACTATACAATAATGCTATATACTAATCTGGTCAAGATCTTTGCTTCACTGCTAAGGCTGCAGGGTACAAGTCAAAGAAGGTCAAGCACATGAGATTCAATTAGCATGCGCACTGAGTTTAAGTACAAAGAGTATGTATGTAATAGTATGCTTTTCCAACAAAGTACAAGTTACCAGAAACCCTAATTAATATGCATTAATTTAAATGAGGCAATTATCCAATCAAAGTATAGCAGGAATCATGACAAGCAAGTATATCAGTTGTGCAGTACATTATGATCAGCCAGTATCTATCAAAGATGCTCATGGTGCAAAACAGAAGTCTACAGAGTTACTAACAGTTGGAATCTTAACTACGAACAAAAAAAACAAAAAAAAAACAGTAACCCTGGTGGGGGAGGCTTCAGAAGTGCCTTTGCTGTGTAAATAGGCCTTAACCAAGTCTTCTTGGCTAATAAATTAAATTTGCAGATAACTAATCTTGCAAACTTTTATGTACTGTATATAAAGCTGAATAATGTAGGTAATGAACATAATGTTCCTATTTAAAATAATTTATTAATATACAAATGCTGTACAATCCATGCAGTAATTTCCTTTTTGACACTCCAAACTTGCTGTCTTAAAACTTGGGCTTTGGTGTTTTTAGCGCATGATCTTTTAGAAGTGTTAGCATCACAGCCTGAAATTTAAAAAAAAACCAAACCTTTATACAGCTTCTATAGCACTCCTCAAACATTAGAATTATAGAGACCTGTTTGCAGAAGTCTCTACTACCCAAGCCTACATAAAAGGCCTGGTACAGTAAAAAATAATCAGCATGTCATTGTGCAAATCGAAGGCTCCCTACATACGCACCATTACTGTCCACTTCCTGTTCTCGGCTTCGTCCCACACAAGAGACTTGTCAGAATAGAACACTTCATCGTCAACTTCTTCTGGCTTGCGTGGCAGGCAGTGGAGGAAGCACCAATCAGGAGAAGCCACTGATGTCATCTAAGTAGCAAAGAATAGTGTTATTCCACATAAAAGTTTGAAAATTTCTTCACCGGTACTGTAAAGGTTTCTAGTACTGATCAATGACCTAAGAGGAATGATGAAACTATATATATATATATATATATATATCCAGTGATGGTGCCACCATTTATCTGACAATTTCCAGCCTGTGTCACTGTTAATTCCATATCTTGACCTTTACCAACATCAATCTCAAACAGAAGCATATTGTTTAGAATAGAAGCACATTTCCACAACACTGTAAACTTTGTCTTTTTTGTAAGTTTCACCTTTTTGATATTTGTGAGTTCAACATTTTCAGCCGTCTGGCTGCTTGTTGAACATTTTATACTGAAATAAATGAATAAATTAAACAAAAATTCGTTGCCAACTAAATTTTGCCTCCATTTGGCAAAACAGTGACATGTACCTTCTTAGTGACTTGATAGCCTTGGAATGCCTTTACCCTAGCCTGTTTCTCCTCTTCTTGACCCATACTTATCCATGTGTCTGTTACTATCACGTCTGCTTTCTCGCATGCCTCCATTGGATCAGTGGTAATGTACAATTCAGTGCCATGCTGAAGTAAGTCCAATACATACAAGAACACATAGGTTATTAAAAGTACTTAGAAAAACTGTAATACAGAATTATATTTCACACTGTCTAATTTTATATTCTGTTTTTGACTATATCATTTTATACAATACTGATGTCAATACAGCTGATTGAACAGACCTGTATTGCCACAGAATAAGGCAATATCACTGTTATGGTATATTACAATGATATAGTTATATACGATTGTTATACTGTATATCATGATATACTACAATGATATAATTACAACAATGATATTCAAGGTTCAATTTATTCATCACTTAAATAACTTGCATGAAATTTGTTTTCTTGGGCAAAAAATACAGATGAGAATACCAAAAATAAATTTTACATTTTGAATCGGGAACCAGTCAATTCTAGCATATGCCACTTTGAGTGAATGCCAGTTCAAGCGGAATTTACTTCGAGCGGATGTTAGTTCGAGCAGAAAAAGATCCACTTGAGCGAACAACAGCCTGTGCGAGTTATGTACGAATTACTTTAAAATTTCGTTTTTTGAGCTAACAACTTGCATTCAGCCGAGGCTCAAGCTTTGCCCGGGAGCCAGGGGCCATATGTATAGAAAGTCGCATATAATTGATTTTTAGGTTAAAAATTCACAAATAAACATACCTACATTCATAAAAATAATGATTTATCTTACTGACTTAGTCATTGTTATTCTTTCGACATGCTCTAAGAAACAGTGGGTTTTGAACTACATGCATAGACGAATGGTGAATAGTGGAGAAAATTAGTATGATGTCATTTCTGTTGAAAGTCAAGAATAGGTCGACGATAGGTTTTCCCTTGTTATAGTTCACACTAAATGCATCCGCTCGAACTGGCATCTGCTCGAACTGGCATTCGCTCAAATTGACCGGCATTCTTTGAATAAACTACAAAATAATAATGATATTGTTATATATGATTGTTACAGTATCCTGATATCTTCATGTTTTTGTCATGCTAAGTAAACTATATCAATACCTCTTTGATCAACTCTTTGCAATCATCAACTACAGCAGACTCCAGAGTGTAATCCTATAGTGAATAATAAACAAAGAACTTTTACTGCAGACTGTTTATTAAATATAATGTGTAAAGTGTTAATTCTAAAGCATTGACGGTACTATATGGGAAACTATCGTATATCTATATCACTGCCGCCCCTCACTGTGCCTCTGTCTATGGCCACTCAGGTGCAGACAAGGATTTTAATCAATAGAATAGATCATCCACCATCAATTTCGACTACTGTAAGTCCCAAATATCCAAGCATAAATTTTTAGCAGCTGAGGATCTAGTATTGTTTGCAGTAAACTACTGTATTCTCAAAAAGTACATTCCTGTTTTTATTCATAATACCAAGAGTAAGGTGCTTAATAAGTGTGTAATTCATTATACCTTAGGTGTGGCGATTTTCAAATTCATTCCCATTTTCGGTGCCCCCATCATGATTGAATGTATAATGTTGTTGCCATCTCCAACCCAAGCGACTGTCAATCCCTTCAAACGTCCATAGTGCTCCTAATAGAAAATAGAAATACAATTGTGAAATATTATTGGTTTGATCACTATAAAGTATTAAAGATAAGAAAAGGCTTTAATTGGACAAGCCAATTGACATGTTGGCTACAAAATATTCAACATTTTTTTAAATTCTTGAGGCATGATACGTGCTAAACACTTTAAAATAGCTTAAAATATGTCAAAATTCGCTCAGTTACTCAAGTGCAAAGGGATTATTCCCGAATCCCATCTGTGGTTTAATGCTTGACCCTCTGACCTCTGCAGAAAATGGTCAAACCTTGCGTCAGGCACCTCCCTACCCCCTGCATATGCTACAGCCACAACTGGGTAGAGCTCTGGCAAACCACTGATGATAGGAAAAGTATCCTACATGCCCATACCATCTGCAGGAGTTTGTTACTAGAGCTCTGATAGTATCTGGTAGTCGTATACTTACCTGTAATGTCTGCAAGTCAGCTAAAGTCTGCAATGGGTGGTACAGCTCTGAGAGGCCATTGATGATAGGGATAGTAGCATGCTTGGAAAATTCTACTAAATCAGAATGATTGAAGACTCTTGCAAGGAAAACATCAACAAATCTTGATATCACCCTAATAAAAAGATGTGTTTTTAATAATTAAATTCATTTGAAAAACAAAATAATTTTTTAAAATGATATTTTCTGTTTAATGTACAGGCATCTATAAGTTATCTCTGCTTAAACTTACTTGGCGGAATCATGCATTGATTCATTTACTCCTAGATGGATATCGTTATCAGTTAAAAATAGTGGATGGCCACCAAGTAATGCAAATCCTGTAAAACCAACAAGAAAAAACGTTTTTATTTCAAGAAATGTGTTGACGACTTGCTAAAGCAAAAAGTTAAATCTCACACATTTATATACATAATCAACCTATTAATATATCTATAAATGTTGCCTCATTCCTTGTAGAAGTAAAGCAAGGAGCAAAATTAAAAATTGCAATAGTAAAACATTGTATTCAATGGCCGGTTCTATTATTTTGGAGGGATGTTTTAAGAAGAAAGAATGGCAGTATTTGGTATATTCAGGTAAGTTCAAAAAATAAACTGATGTTTTTCCAATTATCATAAAGAAAAGTATGTTAACCTGTTTCAGATGACATCCTTGTTCGTGTACTTCTTTTCTGGAAATACAAAGCACCTGCCTTGCCTACCAATGGATTGTATTTCTCATTTCGTGTCTGGAATCTGGTTTTTAAGTCAGCAGCAACCCAAAGCAGATGTTGAACTTCTCTTTTACTAAAATCTTTCAATGTTAAAAAATGTCGTCCTACAAGAGATGGTTGCTTTGGTTCTGTTCTGAAAGTACAATTAGCATAATGTGCATTTTATTTTACCATAATAAATCATTATTCATAAAGTCTAATATACTTAAAAGGTATAGTAAATAGAATTGTTGGAATAAATTATATTTATATATTTTACTATAGATTACTATTGTAAACTTATCCAAACTGCACAAGGGATCAATGGTTTTAAATGGTTTAAAAAGTGGTTTGCTATTGGATAGTTGCCAAATTGAGAGGCAACACTGGCTTGAGAGTCCACAACCCTAGGAGTCCACAACCATACCAGCCTCACCACTGGGATGGGTAGATGCGAAATTATTATTTTAGCACTAACTATATGACTTGCAGAAAATCAGGTCTTATAAGAAACACATCTGAGCCACTATTGTGATGTAGTAGTATGCTCTGTATTGTATGAATTATCAGAAAAAGCTTCGAGATTTCACAAAAGGCTTGAGATTTTAGGGGCTAGCATGAGGGCTCAAAATTGGGTGACAAACGATCAGGCCCATGAGACAATCGGGCCCATCTCCACACTATTGGGCTCACTTTCAAATTGGGCCTTATCGTCCTGAAAATGGGTACGATCGTCTCGTAGACCCGATTGTCTATAATTCCATAAGATTGGGTCAGAAAGCAAAAGTCTCATGCCAGATGTGCAAGACTTGGTAGCTATGCTAAATTAAATCAATTTTCTCCCATCATGGGAAGGCCCTGGTCCTCATGCTTTACTTAAAATGCACCTGATTATTATGGGTTCAATCATTGGTGGGTATGGAATGGAACTAATGATGATCCAGTCGTGTGCCGAGTGGCGACATGAGTGGTTAGGCCCAGAGTGTTTCTAGTCAAAATGGCAGTAACCAAATCGGCAGTGGCAAATACTAAAATGGCAATTGGCAAACAGCATATTTTATTATCATTTTTTTTGTATTAAATAGTTTCTAATGGACTTATTCAATATTCTTGAACATATATAAATTATTCCTTTCTTATCTACGTTTGATATGCCCCACTTATTCATTTGTTTAACCATTTCTAATGTAAATGTTTTGTTATTTGAAGACAATGAAAAAACCTCAACCTAATAAAAAGCAACCTTAAAAATGAGCCATGAAACCGATGTGCCACCGAAATGAAGCGCAACCAAATTTAACTAGGACCTGAATTGTTTTGCTTTATTGTCGTTTTGTCCTGATTTCGCCCTGCTGCCAGGCCCTGGGCTACGAATACTGTAGGGATTACATGCTGGTGAGGCCACGTCAAACGGCTAGCTCCTCTGCTCACTATTCTAGGCCTACTACTACCAAGTCAGGAGGTACCGCCTCCTTGACCTTGCTACTACTTACAGTACTAGCTAGTAGTACAAGTGGTACTAGGCCTAGATATTTAGATAGTAGGCTAGGCCTAGTCTAGGGTCCAGACCACCAGGGATAGGCAGGCTTGCCAACGCCACAAAATAGTTTTCTGTTGTATAAGTAAACGTACTGTCCTACAACATTTCCATGCGTTGCATAGCTTAGAAACCCAGTAGGTGTTTTGACTTTTTGTGCAAACCGACAAAGCCCTAGAACAGCAGCACCTGCCATACCAACATCAAAACAAAACGAAATATTCGCACGTGTACGTCACCGCAAAACAACCTCCCTCTCCTCCTCAGGATAGGATCGGATCCGTTGGAAGTAGTGGTAGACTTTTGATAGTCTCGTCCAAAATGTTCTAGGTTCTCCACAGTTATGGTTGCTTACTTCCAGTAAATTATTAAGCCTATTCTATATTTTATGTTATAATATTACCTATATGCCTAAAAGAGAAACGTGATATTGGATTTAATTTATTTAATTTGAAATTTGTTCAAAATAAAAAAGTAAATATACAAATTACGTGACCTACTTTAACCACCTACTCGACCTCGTCGCGATCGTAGCTACCATCAAAACAATGTCCGAGTGTTTTATGACTGGGTTTTTTTAGGCTTACTCGAACCACTATGGCATCTGAAGATGAAGACATTCCTGGTAAGCACATACCTAAAAGTGTGGTGTATGGTTGAACCTTTATATATTAATTGAATACGTGATTAATTGCTAATCAATACAAATAGCTAGCCTAGGCCTAGCTCATTTGGTGGACAGCCTGCTGGGCTGGGGGCAGTGGCTACTAGGCCTACAGGGCAGGCGATCATTTACCACGACGATCAGACCAAAGGCCTAGGTAGGGCCCATTTTCAGGTCAGGACGTGTCGGACGAATTGCCCAAATGAAACAAGGCGCTAATGCACTTTCGCACCTAACTTTTAATTCTTATTTTTTTTACCTCAACATTCTTCTCACAGTCTCAACATATAATTAACATTTTCACCTGATTTAACCACTCACAAAGTACCTTTTTCAACAAATAAGCCCACAAATAAGTACAGCGAATCTGTTTTCGCTAGCACGACGAGGGGCTGCCATTTTGCAATCAGTAAGAAATTGCCAGAACTTTTAATTCTTAAAGTTTTTACCTCACTGTTCTTCTCACAGTCACATCATATAATTAACAAACATGTTCATATGATTTAACCAGTCACAAAGTACCTTTTTCAACAAATAAGCCCACAAATAAGTACAGCGAATCTGTGTTCGCTAGCACGACGAGCGGCTGCCATTTTGCAATCAGTAAGAAATTGCCAGAATGTCTGAGTTTGCAGCGTGAAGTTTTTTGATTAAACGTTTATGAAAACTTATCTATTTGCCATATTGTATGTCATTCTTTATATTGTATGGTGCTGTTGTTTGACTATGTGGGTTCACATGAAATTCACACATACAATAATTACTTCAAAAATTAGTAATGATCCAATTGCGTACACAGATCGAAAAATAGGGCCTAGGGGCCTAGGCCTAAATCCAGAAAAACAACTATTAAAGCCAATGATAAACGTCGGTTCAATTAACCTTGATTACGACAAGAAAGTTCAAAACGACGGTACTGTATGATGCCACATTTTGTTGTCGGATGTTTCATGGAAAAATTCCAATTAAAATTATAAGACTGGCCTTTAATGGTTTCAAAATTTAAGAATTGACACGGACATTCTGGCAATTTCTTACTTGATTGCAAAAAAGTACAGCTCGTCGTGCTAGGAAGCGCGGAAACCCTGTATCAACCTATATTTATAAAGGTATCTTTTTGTTGAAAAAATGTACTTTATGAGTGGTTGAATCATGTAAAAATGTTTTATAATTATGTGTTGTGACTGTGAGAAGAAAATTCAAGTAAAAAAAAATAAAGAATTAAAAGTTAGGTGCGAAAGTGCATAGCGCCATGAAACAAATCAAACAAATGAAAATTCAAATGGGTCGTAATTACACAAATAATAAGAGACCCCATTTTTAAATTAATGTTTTGATATATATAAATGAATGATCTTTTTGTTTTAACTTAAAAGGCGCGTAACAAAATAGGGACTTTTAGATTGTGTGGACGTGGACTTGGTTCACGTCGACTAGTCATGCGTGTCAATGTAGTCAACTATACCTGTTGACTACAAATGAAAACCTTTTAGATTTCAGTCGACATGTAGTGAACTACATTACGTTGTATCAGTTCCCGCGCGCGCTAGGCAACCTTATTAAGCAGCTGTCATGGCGAACCTTCATCGACTTCGCGAAACTGTCGTCTTTGCATATTCTACCGGTGTCTTGGACGATGAGGAATTCATGTTTTTATACAATACAAATAAACCCAAAAATGCCGAATTCAGGTACCAAGATTATCAGAAATTTGATCTAGACAAGTACAACAATGATGAATGTAATGCATACTTCAGGGCGCATCCGGTGCGTCAACTGCGATGATGCAGATAGTTAACAGGCCTCCCCGGTCGCGTTCGCTGCGGTGCAAGTTTGCATTGCATGCACACTGGCGTAAGCACGCTCATGAACTTCCACAGCCTTTTTTGTGTTTACGAAGGCAGTAGAAATTACATAACTGCCTGTGCATTAAAAAGCAAATAATACAGATTAATTCAACACAAGGCTCTGTATCTGCCTCAGTTGGACAAACTAGTGAAAGCAGCGTTGCCACTATATTTTCATCTTCCATCTTTAAACATCACATCCTAGATTTAGGACGACGGGAAAAACGAGGTGAACACGTTCTCGATTTTGGTAGTGGACGAGGGAGACGACGTAACGCATGCGCAGTGCCTTAAAATGACCTCATCACGTAGCAGTTCACTATGTCGACGTGCAAATCTAAAAGTCCCTAATAGCCTAGAAAAGAAGTGTCAACAGTGCGCCTTATCGCTCAAACAAATAATGCAACATTCTCATGCCTATACTTCCTGAATCTTTTAAGAGATTGAACTGATGTGGCCTAGGTTAAGTCATAATATTTATTTTAATATGCCTTTTCCTCGAATCGGTAGACATGTAGAAGTGGTAACAAACAGTCAGTGGTGCATGACCAACAAAAATAAGATAAGCTTTGAGGACCAGACTGTAGAGTAGGGCATGCACAGGGAATATATCTTCTGTGCAAAAATTAGGCTTAGAAATTGGTCCGTGCATTTCAGGAAATAAGGGCCAATTTCTGCGCAGACCTATGGTGGTAGGCCTAATCTTAATATACAACCAGTGTATTATGCAGTAGTTACGATTATGCGCACCTATTTTTTCCATGAAAATTTGAGCTAAGTTTTGAGGTATCATCCGTGCATTTAAAAAACTTTACAGTATGGTTTGAGTATCAACTAATACAACAATTGTGGTGCATTGAATAATGCCTACAGAAAATGTTCATGGTGTTCTATCTATCTCTGATTATCATTATTTATGAGTTAATGTTGTCACAGGTGTGTTTGTTTATATTAATAGTAATGATAATGAGGCCTGAATAGAAATAAGACAATGGCTCTAGGAACGAATGATGGTGAATATTAACAATGATAATTTACAACAGTAATAATTAACAATATTACAGTAATATAATAATGATGGTGATAAATAATTATGAAGATGATGGTACTGCTGTTAATAATAATAATAATAATAATAATAATAATAATAATAATAATAATAATAATAATGGTATATATAGCCATTATAATAATAAATGACAAAATTAATAAAAATGGTAACCTGTAATTTATTATTTGTTTATTACGATGATGATAATTTTAATTTTATTAATAATGATTAATGTGCTTTGAGTGTTATGTATTTTCTGGTTGCATATTATGTAAAGTATCATTGCTATGATAATTTTGAATGTAAATAATAGAGTTTTGTTAATTCTGAAGCATGCAAATCATTTTTTTTCACAAAAAAAGGTGTTTGATGAAAAACTTAGGAATGGTTTTAATGAGATTTATGAATATTTAAAAACTGCGGGAAATGTGGTTAGACCCCTTTCCCCCAACAAAAGATTTTAAATATTTAAAAATCTGTACAGTATTTTATTCATTAAACTGTTCCCAAGCTTTTTGTCGAACACATTTTTTTGAATCTTGAGAAAAATCAGTTTTTTTTTTCACCTAAGATTTCAAACAGTTATCATGTAGCAATTAATAATGATCTTTTACATTGTGATGTACTGTACATGATTGTATTCCATACATTTCAGAAACTGGTGCTGTGTTTACCTTTGGTAAAAGTCGATTTGCAGAAAATGTACCAAGTAAATTTTGGATACGTAATGACAAGGTAACCCAGGTTTCATGTGGAGATGATCATACAGCCTTCATCACAGGTAGGCCTAAATCCCAATATTTTTGGTTCCTATGCTTGCAAGTATAGGAACTTTTAAAATCCTGCTCGTGTGTATGTAGTATGTACGTTACTAGTATGTTACGCAGTTTTTTGTAAACAGGCAAACGTGACTTTCCAGACATCTGTTTGTTTTGTGCCTCCGTACCCAAGCTAATCTGGATCTTTTGTTGTGCCCTATTTCATAGTTTTCTATTTTGACAAATATTAAAGCCATGCTAATGAGAGACAATACCCCCCTCTACTCTTGAAAAGACTAGTAAACTGTATGATAAGAGGAAAACATTTATGGAATGTTGTGTACTCTCGTTGTCCAAACTAACTGTCTTAAATGCGATGGATCGGGCTCCAGGGACTTTCCTGGCTGGTATGGATATAAAACTTTATCTGCACTTCAAAAACCTCAATTTTATACTACTGCAGTTTGGATACGGTTCTACAGCAGACAGAATAGAATTGTGTTGTGTATGGAAGTGTTGTGGTTTTAAAAAAACATAAAACAAACTTGATACCTGACTGGATACAGTAATCCTTTTGCAGCTTCTATCGGATAATAGACTAACGTGTGTATAGTACGGTAGAGTGAAACCATTGTTGGCTCAGTTCCGACCAAGTCAGTGAAATATTTAACGATTAAGAAAATAAAATTAATCCACCCGATCCATTCCGAAATAGGCAACAATACTAAATTTCCCAGTACTGTAAAGTTGCCTAGTAACACTTGAGTAAGAAACGTTCCGCAAGTAGGTTTCCACCACGTTGGCACGATACTCCATTATGAGAATCAGACACATGGTCAGTCACCTAATTAGTTTGATTCTTTGTACGCCGCCTATTCCAATTCAGGAGCATAAAAGCGCTACTGCCGAGAAAAGCTGATTGGCTTGTTTGGTAAACTAGGCTACCATAAGATTATTTACTGCTATGGTTTCCATTCCATGTTTGCTTTTTGGTTGTGCGTTGTACAAATGGGGCATGCTTTGGCCTTTCAATCCAGTGGAAGGCTGCTACAGGCCTGATTAACAGCGAACGTAACCATGGGGGACGTGAACTTTTTACTGATTTAAGCACTTTAATTGCTAATCACTTTATCAGTGAACGAAATCCTGCACGCTGAGGTCAGCATGCCATAAAAATGTAAAGTCAATTTTTGAACTATAATAATTAAAAAAACTACTGAACGTAATTCATTAATATTAAAATACTCAAGTCCCGGTATCAGGACAACCAAATTTTACAGCCCTGGAAAAATATTACACTATTAAACCATACCATGAATGTATTTCCGCCTTGATGATTTTCCTTATTCTTGTTATACTGCCCTCTATAGTTTTAAAATTATCTTGAATGCAGTGTCATATTGATTGTCAGGTACTGTGATATTATTATTTATATACAGTATTAAAAACGATACAAAGATGTAGGCCTTCTGCCTCTTTAAATTGAAATCTAATAGAACTAGAAACTTTTTTTATGATTTTATTTATCACTTTGACTTTGACTGGGTAAAAATTACACATACCATTTCAAAAGGGTACCCTTAAATTTGAATCTCGAATCCTTGAACAAATGTGAACAATGAAATTTGTTTTGCATGTTTCTTATATAAACACACTAAACTAATGTATCAGTTTTCAGAATTTTGTCATAAAAATCTGTAAATTCATTGAAATAATATTGAATAATGTTGATAAATTTTAGGATTTAAATAATAAATATTTTAATCATAAATTTTACAATAGTTACAACTACAGTTAAATTTCTTTTTTTTTTTTTTTTTTCTTTCACTTTTGCCCATACCATGAATGTATTTCCGCCTTGATGATTTTCCTTATTCTTGTTATACTGCCCTCTATAGTTTTAAAATTATCTTGAATGCAGTGTCATATTGATTGTCAGGTACTGTGATATTATTATTTATATACAGTATTAAAAACGATACAAAGATGTAGGCCTTCTGCCTCTTTAAATTGAAATCTAATAGAACTAGAAACTTTTTTTATGATTTTATTTATCACTTTGACTTTGACTGGGTAAAAATTACACATACCATTTCAAAAGGGTACCCTTAAATTTGAATCTCGAATCCTTGAACAAATGTGAACAATGAAATTTGTTTTGCATGTTTCTTATATAAACACACTAAACTAATGTATCAGTTTTCAGAATTTTGTCATAAAAATCTGTAAATTCATTGAAATAATATTGAATAATGATTTAAATAATAAATATTTTAATCATAAATTTTACAATAGTTACAACTACAGTTAAATTTCTTTTTTTTTTTTTTTTGTCTTTACCTTAAAGTTTATAGTATATTTAATTGTTATATTGAAAATATCAACATTCATAATTTTTTGTATATTTAATGATCTGCCATAATGGTCGTTAACACATTAGCTATCACACTCATTTGTCGAAACATGCAAATACCTGTTTTTAAAATTTTACCTTAAAACACTTTTACTGCAAGCCATCATGTGATTGACTAATAAATTGGTAGGAGAATACTATACTACAAAACTAAATAATTTTTGAATGATAATGACAACTTTATTTTTGTGCAATAACAATGCACTGAATTTCAGGACTTGCTTGCTTTATTGCATTTATTTCAGTATCATACATTCTTCCAAAATGGCAAACTTCATTGTAATTATTTTATTTTTTTGCTTTTAAAGTGAGATTATTGAGGGTGAAGGGCGCCACCACATGACCGTATTTACAACAGAACCTGTAAATTAACACAATGAATATATCAGAACTAAATAGGCACCCACAATCCTTTCAGACTAACCCCAGTATTCTTAAAATGAACTTCAGTTATATGTTTTGAGGTAAAACTTAAAAATTACGTTATGTCGTATTCTTAAAACAAAATTTGACTACATCTACGACTAAATTATGCACACCTTTACAAAGTTAACATGACTAAATTGTCCGAATCGACGATTTCTGCCTAGGGTCAGACTCAATCGCTGACTTGAAATATTTTACTTTTTTTTTTATTGTTTACAAAATTCTGATGTATCATTGGTGTGTTCAATATAAGATTCATCAACCATAGCTTTCAAAAGGCTAAATTAACATGTAGCAGCCACATGTGATTCCATTGCATTGTAGTCATGTAGCTTCATCGTAACAACAACAAAGATGGCGCCTCCCTCGCATGAGTTTATCAAATTTTCATTTGGTATTCAAATTCTCCATCATTAAAATGTAACAACTAATATTATAGTACATTAATTAAGCCAATAATGATGTAATTATGAATACAACAGGGACTTGATATAGTCATACAGTAGTTACTGTAAAACGTCTACTAGATTGAATGAGGTCAATTTTTGATTGCCATTTCATCAAAGAACCTCATTAAAAAATGTTATTTAAGGATGGCGGGAATATTACAATAGGAATTAAGATCTAAAACTCTAAACACTTTTTCCTCGTTTCAAAAATAGTTTTTCCAGTGCCATAAATGGTGCCTCGCTACATACAGACAAAACAAACGCAGCTGCGTATGAAAGAACTACATGACCTAGGAAAAAATATATCAACAAGAAATCAGAAAAATAGATCAACGTAGGTAGGGAGTAGTAGAAGACAAACATGATAATGGGATGAAGAAGATAAGCGCAGTAACTGATACGGGCAAGTGGTATCCATACTGACCAGGAAAGTAAAGAATTCACTGGCCCACCATACCCAGTGACACATGCAAATGCTACCCATGCCAGAGCTACAGCCCATGAAAATCTTGAGAGGGTGATGTACACAACAGATGCTCCTTCACTTAATAGGTTTCCATGGTAGTTGCCATAGAGACCATAAACAACTGCAAGACCAATACCTGTTGCTGCTATCCATCCCATTATGGCCACGTGACGTCGCATACGAACCCGTCCCAAATATTTGTACAAGATGTATCCCACAGCCATACCGACAAGGTATGGGGGGATACGAGTCCAGGGTCGAACATATATTTCATCAGCACCAAATGTTTTTACATTTGGATTCAGTGATAAAGCATATGTAGTGATATTATATTTGATGGAAACACCTATCAAACTCCCAAATGATGTTATAAGGAGAATACTCCAAGCTACCACCCCTGCAAAGAAGTAGTGATATAGAAGATAAATTACAAAGGGACTGATAATGAAAAATTGCATATCATTAGCAAGATACCAACTCCATGCAAGACATTCTGTCTGAAGACTTGAGGGGTAGAGATTGTTGATGTAAAGTAAATTTGTCCACCAGTAATCTTGGCAGTATGTTAATTGATTCTCTATACCAGGGGCAGGATTTGGATCAAAAACAATTGAGTAAATTGGTCCAGTTGCTAAGTATGGTGTTAGCGTTGCAAAGAAGAAAATAACAAGCATATAAACAGGAGTTAGTCTGAGGTACCTATGGACATAGAACATCACCCAGTTGAGCTTACCATTATTGTTCCTCAAATATTTTAAAGTTAAGTAAGTTACCAGTAAGCCACTGAGAAAGAAAAAGGAATCAACAGAAAAGGTAGCATTACCAACAGCCTGGAATGTGAATCGTGAAAGAATATCAACAATTATAGTTGGATTACTAAATAATGTCTCTGGGAAAATATAAGTGTGGCCCAGTATTACCCACCATAAGCTAAGGACTCTAATACCATTAAGTGCTCCTAAACTTCCTTCCCCTTGTTTGGTGTTCAGAATCTTACTACCATTGATTAACAAGGAGAAACACAAAATAAACTTCACAATGAATCTTTCATTCTCTGGTTTTATATTCTGAATTGAAATAGGTGCATCCCCATTTGATATCTTCACATTCTTGTCAGAAGAGGGGCCATTGATGGTATGATCAGCCCTGTGATCCTCTGCCAACGCCTCAAATCCATCTCGTCGACCTCCTAGTACTTCATATCTTCTCAAGAAGTCATACATTGTTCCCACCATTATGAAGAGTCCGAGGAAAGAAAGGAATATAAGACATACAATGGCAGCAGGTGTGTAGTCTGGTGTTTTGCTGCATGAATAAGAGACTGAAAAAACATTCTTGACAGAATCACTTCCTATAAGTTCTGCCAAGTCAGTGCTTTTGCAACTGTCTGGAACACATACTCCCACACTTAAAAGAGGTTGATTCTTTTCTGTAACTGAAGCTAGACAATACACTGCTTTGAAATTTTCTCGACCACCATCAAGTTGCCTGGACTGGTTTGAGCATTGATCATAAAGTCCAAGCCACAATTTATTACCTTGAAGTATACCAGGTGGAATCTTTCCATATGAATCTAACATCATCAGAGCATAATGTTCTGCCCTTAAAATGTCCGATCGAAAAGTTTCCAGATCTATGAAGCACTGACTTGCTGGTTCCTCTGTTATTTCAGTTACTATCATCATTGTTGTAGCCTCCATTGTGGTGTTTTGCACTGTCATTGTAGTCTCTATTGTCATATTTGTCACTATCATTGTTATAGGTTCCATTGTTACATTTGTCACTGTCATTGTTGTGGGTTCTGCAGTCATATTTCTTTTTGTTGCATTTGTTGTTGTTGTTTCAGATTTTCCAGTTGTTGGTGTTTCATTTGTAACCAACTGCTCTGTTGAATACAGCAGGGGTTGTAAAACCAAATCGTGTACTATTGCTTGTAATTCCTCTGCTTTAACATAGTCTGTCTTTCTATACCTTTGCTGGGCAATGAAGTTCATTGCTTCATTCTCAGTTCTGATGACTTGAATTTGTGCGTGGCAACAAGAGGTCACAGCCAGTATCAATGCAGCAGTCACTATCATCTTTTTTGTAGGTGTCCACATGACTGGATATTTGAAGCACAATTTGCCGAGGTCTGGATTTTTTTTTTTTTTTTCACTTTTTCAAATCACTGCTTGTGTGAACCAACTTGAAAGAACTGTGAATAATCACCTGAGTAGTGGACTTCAACCAGGCATGTGACTTCAACCAATCAGATTGCTTTTACATATCTTCAGTAACCATCACATGTTTGCCAATGCATGCATAAAACTGTGACAAATATTTAGACAGTAAAGTTCTATTAGCAGAGTTTTTTGGTGGACCAAGGTCTAGTTTTGTTGAAACTAAAATTTGCTAGCCCTTATATATCAGCTATTGAATATTGGTCTAGTTTGAATGTATTTAATGCTAGCCCAGCCCTAAAATTCTCAAGTCCCAGACCCAGGACCACCACCTCTTTACAGCCCTGAAGTTACATAATAGGGGAGATTTAATAACAGATAGCTAATATTTTAGAATGACAGTTTTGGTTTCTTTTTTATTTATGGTATGAATATTATTTTCATTTTATACCAGGAAATACAGAATAAAAATATTACTGAGCTGCATTCTCTTAAAATCATCTTATCTATTTATCTATGTACAACAATTCAAATAGCAAATTTTAAATTTCCAATTTTGTTGCTCAAAATTGGACAGTACAGTATGCATTTAAATCCTAATTTCAAAAAGCAAAATGAGTTTATTAATGTCGTTGAAGTGTAATGTATGGTGTTTTCAGTGTTTAACTAAAAATCTGTTTTGATTTTTTTTATCTTGTCATTTGGCTTAAACCTTCTTTAAGTCAGATGTTCCCTATGAGGGCTGCGCTTGTCTTGTAAAAGAAGAAGTGATATTGCATAAATTAATTAATTTAAATGAAACTTAGATATCAAAATAGAAAAATAATAAAGATAATACTATTTATATTCTCAATTTTTATTGCAAAAATTTAAAGACGATACAATTCAAATTTACACTTAGCCTGATAAATACATTCTTAGGAATACATAGAAAGACTATACTGCTAGGCCTAGTTATCATCTTCATAACACTTGTGACAATGAACCAATGATGTTGCCAGGATTTGCCCGATGGAGGTTGGTGGAGGAGTACTTAAAGCCCCATTCCGGACAAAATTTCACTAAAAAAGATTTTTTTTAGAAAAAATGCATTTGCATTACTCTAATTATTATAAACAATTGAAAAATATTGACATAAATTTTAGTTTTACGCAAAAGAATTAAAAAATGAGAAATACAGACTATTTCTCATAGGAGATTACCATTTTCTCGATGAATTCTTCATTACTAGGCAAATTCAGAGGTTGTAGATCGCATCCGCTGGAATGCTCTCCCTTTTATGTATACTTTTACAGTCATTAAAGTGCGCCCTCTCCAATGAAATTAGTTTTCGTACTTCGCATCTCGAACACTGCGGTTGATCGAGTAGGCCTGAGATATGTTTGTTTAATTGTCAAAATCTCAGTCATAATAATTTTTTTAACAGATTTGAAATAATTCCTATGAAATATTATATTTCACAAGTGTCATTAGCAACAAAAAATATCATGTCGGCCGTTTTTATGTGTGATAACAGAACCTAAATCGAGGTAAGGCTAGACCTACCCTATCAGTGTTGGATAGGGAATGTTTCCGGCGCTACTATATTTCTTCGCAGACCTATCGCAAAATCGAACATAAACAATTTATCCGCATTTATTTTTTGTGTGGAACACAAAAAAATCAAATTTCTGTCTTATTTTACATTTTTTTCATGTTTAGGAATGTATGAATTCAGTTAAACCAGCAATTCCATAATATATTTATAAATCTTTATAACATATATATAAAAATCAGATTTTTCTTAACAACTGAAATTTTGCTGTACATACTGTAGCCCCATGAAGGTATTATGTTTTGGTAACTTTTGAGGATTGAAAAATGTTGCTAGTGCTAAGGACACCCTTCATACATCTTGGGCTTTAGTTTTATGTAGTGTCTGTCTAGTAACTACCAGGGTCTACATTTACCTGCACAATTAGAGATTGTAAAATTATCAGCCATTCCCATGAGTGCCATATCAACTACATATTATTATTAGTAGCGCCTTGAGCACTGCTGCAGTGGATATGCACGCTTTATAAATCTTATTATTAGATGTCACATTATTTTCAACAAATAAAATCATTACCAAACGTTTATAAAAAGGAGGGTGGTAAAGAATAAAGATCTACAGTTCTAAACACTTTTTTCCCGATTTAAAAGTAATTTTTCCAGTGCCATAAATGGTGCTTCGCTACATACAGACAAGACAAATGCAGCTGCGTAAGAAAGTACTACATGACCTAGGAAAAAATATATCAACAAGAAATCAGAAAAATAGATCAATGTAGGTAAGGAATAATAGAAGACAAACATGATAATGGGATGAAGAAGATAAGCGCAGTAACTGATACGGGCAAGTGGTATCCATACTGACCAGGAAAGTAAAGAATTCACTGGCCCACCATACCCAGTGGCACACGCAAATGCTACCCATGCAAGAGCTACAGCCCATGAAAATCTTGAGAGGGTGATGTACACAACAGATGCTCCATCACTCAATAGCTTTCCATTATAACTGCCATAGAGACCATAAACAACTGCAAGACCAGTGCCTGTTGCTGCCATCCATCCCATTATGGTTATATGATGTCGCATACGAACCCGTCCCAAATATTTGTACAAGATGTATCCCACAGCCATACCGACAAGGTACGGGGGAATACGAGCCCATGGTTGGACATATATTTTATCAGCACCAATATTGGTTTGGCCTAGAATCACTGATAAAGGATTTGCAGTAATATGATATTTGATGGAAAGGCCAATCAGACTCCCAAATGATGTTATAAGGAGAACTCCCCAAGCTACCACCCCTGCAAAGAAGTAGTGATAGAGAAGATAAATTACAAAGGGACTGATAATGAAAAATTGCATATCATTTGCAAGATACCAACCCCATCCAAAACATTCTCCATCACTATTTGAGGGGTAGAGATTGTTAATGTAGAGTAAATTTGTCCACCAGTAATCTTGGCATAATGTTGTTTGACTATTTATACCAGGTGCAGGATTTGGATCAAAAACAATTGAATAAAATGGTCCAGTTGAAAAGTATGGTGTTAAAGTTGCATAGATGAAAATAACAAGCATATAAACAGGAGTCAGTCTGAGGTATCTATGGACATAAAACATTACCCAGTTGAGCTTACCATTATTGTTCCGCAAATATTTTAAAGTTAAGTAAGTTACCAGTAAGCCACTGAGAAAGAAAAAGGAATCAACAGAAAAGGTAGCGTTACCAATAGCCTGGAATGTGAATCGTGAAAGAATATCAACAATTATAGTTGGATTACTGAATAATCTTTCTGGGAAAATATAAGTGTGACCCAGTATTACCCACCATAAGCTAAGGACTCTAATACCATTAAGTGCTCCTAAACTTCCTTCCCCTTGTTTGGCCTTCAGAATCTTACTACCATTGATCAACAAGGAGAAACACAAAAGAAACTTCACAATGAATTCTTCATGCTCTGGTTTGATGTTCTTTACATTCTTGTCAGAAGAAGGGCGATTGATGGTATGATCACCCCTGTGATCCTCTGCCAGCACCTCAAATCCATCTCGTCGACCTCCCAGCACTTCGTACCTTCTCAAGATGTCATACATGGTTCCTACCGCTATGAAGAGTGTGAGGAAAGAGAGGAATGTAAGACATGCAATGGCAGCAGGTGTGTAGTCTGGTGTCTTGCTGCATAAATAAGAGATCGAAAAAATATTCTTGACAGAATCACTTCCTATAAGTTCTGCCAAGTCAGTGCTCTTGCAACTGTCTGGAACACATACTCCCACACTAACAAGAGGTTGATTCTTTTCTGTAATAGAAGCTAAACAGTACCCTGCGTTGAAATTTTGCCGGCCATCATCAATTTTCCTAGACTGGTTTACACATTGATCATAAAGTCCAAGCCACAATTTGTGGCCTTGCATAATACCAGGTGGGAGCTTACCATATGAATCCAACATCATCAGAGCATAATGTTCTGCCCTTAAAATGTCCGATTGAAAAGTTTCCAGGTCCATGAGACACTGACTTTCTGGTTCCTCTGTTATTTCAGTTACTATCATTGTTGTAGCTTCCATCGTTGTATTTGTCACTGTCATCATTGTAGTCTCTATTGTTACATTTGTCACTGTAGTTGTGGGTTCTGCAGTCTTATTTACTCTTGTTGTTTCAGATTTCCCAGTTGTTGGTGTTTCATTTGTGACATAGACTTCATCTTTCAAATCAGAAGTTTCTGGTACAAGCTGCTCTGTTGAATACAGCAGAGTTTGTAAAACCAAATTGTGTACAACAGCTTGTAATTTGTCTGCTTTAGCATAGTCTTTGTTCATATACCTTTGCTTGGCAATGAAGTTCATTGCTTCATTCTCAGTTCTGATGACTTGAATTTGTGAGTGGCAACAACAGATCACAGCCATTATCAATGCAGTAGTCACTATCATCATCTTATTTGTAGGTGTCCACATGACTGGATTTGTTAAGCACAATTCTCTGTATGTGATAGTTTTTTTTCACTTAAATTCACTGCGTATGTGAACAAACCTGAAATGATTGCCTCACTAGCCTGAAATAACTGAAATCACTTCAGGGATATTGGAGTTCAGCCATGCATGACGCTTTATCCAATCAGATTGTTCTCATTTATCTGCAGTGAATAACTAGCACATGTTTGCCAATATTTAGACAGGTTAGCTATATAATAGAGATTTATTTATTGACAATGAAAAAAATAATGACATAAACAATTAGATATAAAAAGTAGCGAAAAAGAAGGGATGCAAGCACATCTATCCAACAAGTTAACCTCACAAATCACATCGAACAAAAATAGCAAAGTGTAAAATTGCATGTTAGAAGATATAAAGAAAACTGCATAAAAGAGTAAAAGGGAAAATAAATTGAACATTATTATAGTAGATAGCTAATATAGTAGATAGCTAATATTTTTGAATGACAGAAGATTTTAGTTTCTTATTCATTTATGATGTATTATTATTTCTTTTAAAGAAACCAGGAAATATTAGTCAAACCAATTGACAACTACATTTGAAAGTGTTAAATCAGATGAATTTATTATGAATTGGTAAAAAGAATAATACATGCTGTAAATTTATTTATGATATAAAATTTTGCATTTTACGTGTGGTTAAGTCTGGGGCACTGTAACCTTCAGCTATACTTTCGGTATTATTATTATTATTAGGCCTATTATTATTATTAGGCATATTATTATTATTAATATTATTATTATTATTATTATTATTAATGAAATAAAAGAAAATTTTTAAAAAAAATCCTTAAGCTCTATCTATATTATCAAATTTTATGTGACAAATTTGTGATATGGTCATATTTGGGTATATAGTAATAAATATTATGTCATCGTGTCCGTATATGGGCATTTCACATAAATTGACACATAAAATTTGATAGTGTGAAATTAATCAGTAGCCACCAATGGGTAACTGACAGGGTGTTGTGGCATTGAATGTGTTTATGTTCCATTAAATTGATTGAACATTGTACTTCCCAGGGAGTGGAGGGGGTTGTGTTTTTTTTTTTTCAGTTTGCCAATTTCTTGATCCATTTACCAGGGGTACTGGTAATACCGTAGTTCCTCCGTGTATAATCCCACCTCCCCTCCCCACAAAAAAAAAAAGTTGGCCTGATTTTGGATGGTTGGGATTATACCCGGGGATTTACGTGTGCATGAACAGAACGAAAATGATCATTTTTCAAAGTGGCAGATGCATTTGACCAACTGTCCTACGATGGCCTATCCGAAGCTATATTACGGTGGTGAAATCAGACTTTACTTGCGCATCAAAGGAAAGGGAACACCTTAATTATTGTTAGTAGGCCTAGGCGCCTTGCTAGAGGCCATATCTTTGTCTTACCTCGAGTAAGGCAAGCTTTTGCCGAAACTTTCCATCTTGATGTCCTAGGTTATTTTTTGCCCAGCAACAACCAATCCAACCAATCACCCATTGCAAGTGAAGATCCACTTGTAATGCATGATGTAATAAGTTATTTTAGTAGCGTGTCTCTATGGAACATGTGAATTAAAGATCCGATCAGTCCATTGGGCAGGTTTCTTTAGGGACGGACCGCGGTATTGTCTATTTTTATCCGCAGCTGTAAACATGTGAGTGTCCACACAGTGAATTAACATTCGATCAATTCAAATCAAATTATCTTTATTGCAACTTTCTTTCTGGAGTCGGATTTACAATTTTTTCCAAATATAAAATACATAAACAAAGCAAAAAAAAATACAAACATCAAGAATCAATCACAAAAAAGGGGTAAAAAGGCAATTATAATAATTTATTTAATTAGTTATTAAATTTATTGCAAAACTATAATTAAACATCAAACAGTTCACCAATACATTATTTATTTTAAGTTAATTATTATTTAATTTATTGCAACATAAGGTGCAAAACATCATTTTTTTTAAAACCAGAAAATGCATACACAAAACAGAAATAGAAAAATATCAAGAATCGATCCAAAAATACCAAAAAATTACATATTACAAGGGTTAAAAAAGAAAATTATAATTATTTATTTACTGTAAGTTAATTACAGTATTATGTAATTTATTATAAAACTATAATTATACAGCGAAAGGTTCACCAATACATGGTTAAAATTATTTTAAGTTAATTATTATTTAATTTATTGCAAAATTATGATAAAAATATCCAAAGTACACCAACACAAAAAAGCACCAAAAACAGCAACCTAACAAACATCACAAAAGTACAGTAAATCTAATCATCGTCTACCAAGTCTTACTGTAAGGAAACTACCTGGGGCCCCCTGTGAAGAGGTCAATGCTAGGGCCCACCCAACCACCAATGATGTGATGATGTACAAAGAGCACCCACTGAATCACCATTCATGGGATAATCCATGATTAATAATGAATTGTTTAGACCTATTGGTACACATGTGTTATATGGAAAATGCATTGTTGTGTCTAAGGTTGTATTTGTGTTCATTTGGTGGGGGGGGGGTGGTTCAATCGGTGCTTACAGCATTGCAATTTAGTGAAGTACCTCCTACTCAACTCCAACAGGCCCAGAGCGATTTGTGTTTCCCCATAGGGGACCCCAGTTAACATGCAGCCAATAGCATCTTTTTGAGTCTGAGTCAAACTAGTATACCAAGAGGCCATGCATACTCTATTACAGATCTTATGATAACACAAATCAGACAACTGGGCGGGTCTATTTAGGGACAGTGTTGTCTATTTTTAGCCGCAGTTAGTGAGCTGTTTTTTTTAGCGATAGTAAACAACAAGAATTTAAAAGAATGGGCTTTGTATTCAACTTTACGGCGACCAAATTATACCTTAGGACTTTGCCTGGGGAAGTGCTTGTACACAAAGTTGGGCGTACAGTTAATTTGGGGGTGGGGTTATACCCGAGGTGGGACCATACTCTGGGAAACACGGTAAATACTTACTTTTTTACAGTGATTTTTATTTCCAAAATTCTGCCAGAAAGCAATAAATAATGAATAAATATTTGATGACAGGTAGATGAATGAAATAGAATACTAAAACAAATCTTGTTGAAGTAAGCAGTAAAGTCTTTAAATGCACATAAAGAATCATTCCTTTCATATAATTATTTCAGTTGATTCTTATACTGACATTTTAACAATCTACATGGACATCTGTATTCAATGGCCATAGGAAATGGACCAAGTACAGTAGGTAATGCTATGATCTCAAACAATAATTGATTCGTTCATGCATTTTATTAATGACTTTTTGCTAACATACTCAGAAATAAAACAAAAACTGCAGGTGGTAGACATTTTATAGGTTGGTGATTACATTGGTAAACTCTACTAAGAGTAGATTTTAAGGATGGGCAAAGGGTTTATTAAGGGGGGTAGAGGTTCATGAAATTAGCTTTAGACGGAATGGAAAACTTCAAGGCTGGGTGGACTAAAAAACAAAGAGTAAAGTACTCATAGATAAATATTTAAAGTGGCGATCCAGGAACTTGAATTGGTTGAAGGGCCCGGTCCATTTTATTTTAATTGGGTCCTGGTTCACTTACATTTTCATACACTCATCTTTAAGTAGAGATGAAATAAACATTTTACATGATCAAGACTAGGTTTTTGTAGTAAAATATGAATGGGAGAGGACTTAATTATGCTAAATTACTATTGTTTGGTGTATACTATGTTGAAGTAAGCAGTAAAGTCTTTAAATGCACATAAAGAATCATTCCTTTCATATAATTATTTCAGTTGATTCTTATACTGACATTTTAACAATCTACATGGACATCTGTATTCAATGGCCATAGGAAATGGACCAAGTACAGTAGGTAATGCTATGATCTCAAACAATAATTGATTCGTTCATGCATTTTATTAATGACTTTTTGCTAACATACTCAGAAATAAAACAAAAACTGCAGGTGGTAGACATTTTATAGGTTGGTGATTACATTGGTAAACTCTACTAAGAGTAGATTTTAAGGATGGGCAAAGGGTTTATTAAGGGGGGTAGAGGTTCATGAAATTAGCTTTAGACGGAATGGAAAACTTCAAGGCTGGGTGGACTAAAAAACAAAGAGTAAAGTACTCATAGATAAATATTTAAAGTGGCGATCCAGGAACTTGAATTGGTTGAAGGGCCCGGTCCATTTTATTTTAATTGGGTCCTGGTTCACTTACATTTTCATACACTCATCTTAAAAAATGTATGTTAATACCCAGGCTGTGTTTACTCTAAATGTACTGAACAATGTTATATCTAAGTAACTTATTAGCATTGGTAATCATTTTGCATTTTTAAGTCAATATTTTAGCCAAGGTATAATTATTTCATAAAAAAAACTACTGTAAACTCATTTGTAAATTACCTAATCACACGCTCTTCTCTCGCTTCAAAAGCAATTTTTCTAATGCCATAAACGGTGCTTCTGCACATACTGAGAAAATAAAGGCACATGCATACGATAACACAAGATTACCAAGGAAAAAATACACCATTAAAAAATCAGTGAAATAAATCATATTTGGTAGAGAGAAATAAAAGACAGATATGACAATAGGATGAATAAGATAAGCACAGTAATTAATGCGGGCGAGTGGTACCCATGCTGACCAGGAAAGCAGGGAATTCACTGGCCCACCATACCCAGTTGCACATGCAAATGCTACCCATGCAAGAGAAACGGCCCAAGCAAACCGGCATAAAGTGATGTACACAACTGTACCACCTTTACTGAGATGGTTGTCATGGAAGTTGCCATAGAGACCATAAACAACTGCAAGATCAATCACAGTTGCAATCACCCATCCCAATATCGTCGTAAAAATTGACATACGAACCCGCCCTCGATATTTGTACAAGATGTATCCAACAGCCATACCGACAAGATACGGGGAAATACGGCTCCATGGCTGGACATAAATTGAATCGGTTGTAAAATTTAACTGGTTTGGATCCTCTGGGATAAACTCTGTTGTAAGATCATGTTTGATGGATTCTCCTATCAAACTGGAGAAACATGTTAGCAGAAGAATGCACCAAGCAGCTACCCCAGCAAAGAAATAGTGATAGAGAAGATAGATAATGAAGGGGCTGATGATGAAGAATTGCATATCATTAGCAAGATACCAACCCCATGCTAGACATTCTCTCATAAGTTCTGAGGGATAGAGATTGTTGATGTAGAGTAAATTTGTCCACCAGTAATCTTGGCAATATGTTATTTGAGTTTCTACACCGGGGGCAGGATTTGGATCAAATAAATATGAGTAAAATGGTCCAGTTGCAAAGTATGGTGTTAAGGTTGTAAAGATAAAAATAACAAGCATATAAACAGGAGTCAGTCGGAGGTATCTATGGACATAAAACATCACCCAGTTTAGCCTACCATTATTTTTCTTCATGTAATTTAATGTTAAGTAAGTTACGAGTAAACCACTCAAGAAGAAGAAGGAATCAACAGAGAAAGTAGCATTGGCTATGGCTTGAAATGAAAATCGGGCAATCACATCAAATAGTGTTAAAATATTACTAAATAGTGCAATGGAGGACGAATAAGTATGTCCTAAAATCACCCAAAATAAACTAAGGACCCTAATGCCATTGAGGGCTCCCAGACTTCCTTCTTCTTGCTTCGTTTTCAGTATCTTACTACCATTTGTTATCATTGAGAAACACAGAATAAATTTTCCAAAAAAGCTGTCATTTTGTTTAATCACATTCTTTTCCGATGCTGCCAGTAATGGTGAAGTCTCACATGGATTGTATGTTGCTGTGGTTTCAGCAATGTTCATGTCTTTGTCATTGTTTTTATCATCTACTTTAAGTGCAGCTGATTCTTTCCTTCGTTTAGCCAAGTCATAAATGGTACCAATGATTATCATCACACATAAAAGTGTGAGTGTGGTCAGGCAGGCAATAGCAGCTGCTGAATATTCATATACTTTAGTGCATATTGTGTTTGTTACAGTAAAACCAGTGTCTATAGGAAGACTATTCAACAGGCTCTTAATCTGCTCTGCATCACAGCTATTAGGCACACACATTCCAATATTCAGACTCGGGAACGAGGCATTTGAATTTGCATTGTACAGAAATACTATGCAGTGTTTGCCTTCGAAATTTGTTACATTAGAAGACTTCGACTGCGATTGACATTGATCATAGAGACCGGGCCATGTAATGCTACCTTGAAAAACACCAGGAGGGAGTTTACCGTAAGCATCAACCATCATCAGTGCGTACAGGTCGCCTGCTTGAAGGTCAGAATTAAAATATCCCAAATCCACAATACACTGAGACGGAGATTCCGGTGTGGTGCTCAATGATTCAGTTGTGAAATCTTTAGTACTGGGCCCTGCTTTCAACATTTTCGGTGTCATATTTTCAGCATACTCTAATAAAAGCAAATCATTTAAAGTAGCAGGCTTCATTTCATCAAAGAATTCTTGTCGATTCCGCAGCTTGTGTGATCTCAGCTGATATTCAACTGATTGTAGCATAGGCTGTAGTAAAGTGCTATACACCAAATGATCCATGACATCTTCAGCATTTCGTGGTGTCTTTATGCGTTTGTTCTTGCTGAGGAATTCGCTTGCCTGCTTTCCATTGTTAACATGAAATTGAGCATTGCAATAAAAGTTTGCAAATACATAAGTTAATATTACACTCAGTCTCATATTGAAGTACATTCAGTAAAACCTAGTGCAAGAAACTATTGAAAAGAAAGTGCAATTAACTAGAACATGTATGCCCAACCCTATTGTAATATTGTATACATAGTGTATGCAGTTCCTATTCATTGATATCATAAAAGTTTAAAGGTTATCACATCAGGCATTACATCATGTTTTTAAATAGTCTGACCAATCAGTAATCGATGCATTACATGCTCAATAGCTTCATGGTGAGAGTGTTTGTACAACACCATGTGACTAAACTATATGGCAGTTCCTATTTATTTAACTAATTTTTTCTTTGAATATAATAATATCCTAAACTACAGGTGGGCAAAGTGCAACCCGACAGCGATTTTTTTTGTGGCCCACAAAAATGAATTAAAACCCCCATGTGCGCGGTCCGCCGAACTCTTTTGACTAGAAAACACCTTGTTTTTTACGGCCTGACACTGATCATCTGTAAAAAGTAACATTAAAACCTAGAATAAAGTGGTATAAAAGTAGTGCATGAAGGTTTTGCAAGCACATTGTAAACATCAAAGTTCGGGTTCGGCCCTCCGTGTTAAATAGAAAAATTTACTTTGGCCCTCCAACTGATTTTTATGCCCATTCCTGTCCTAAACCCATGTATTTGTAGCCAGGTTAAATATAACATAAGCAAATGTCCTTTAAATTCTTTAAAATCAAACAATCTCAAGTTAATGTGTGAGTTGATAGGACGTCAGAAGTAGCCTAATCATTAATTGATCATCACTCTTACATGTCAAAATTTCAAATGCCTTGAAGGGTTTTCAAGCTCAGCTCTATGGAACTTTCATAATCCAGACTATGGAAATTTGGCTCAGTTACGGATGTATGGAAATATGCTATAGCAATTCATCAATAAGCCAGAAACTCATAAACTGTACACAGTTACAACAAAAAGAAAGCATCATCGATTATTGGTAAACAATCTTAAAAAGCTACCCTGGACAAAAAATGAACATATAGCTAACTGATTTACTACAGTTAAATGCTGTCTTTTACCAAATGTATGAAAATACAGTAATCATATTTATCACTCCCAATGAAAAATTTTCAAAATACACATCTAAGAGATGTTTTTATTTTTTATGTTAAAAGGATAATAGTAAAAATATGTACTATTTTTTTAAGAAGAAAAGTGTCACAAATATCTTGAAAATAAATGATGTGCTACATACAGTGAGACCTTACATACACCTTGTTCAGGGAACCCACCTCCCACCAGTAATGATGATTTTCACCAATAATTTTATTTTCTGGTGCTTCGCACGGAGGATGTGAGTAATAATTATATATATAACAACTTTTATTCAAAACAATAGTTCAACTGAATACAATTTACTCTACAGTTTCCTTAACAATTTATTTCTCAATGGTGTTTTTTCGCGAAAGTCAGTTCGAATGAATGTTGTGGTAGATAAGATGTCAAAATCGATCGCAATCGGAGCGAACTTGGGCCGGCTCAGGTTCGGCTTACATTCAGATATAAAGTCGGGTCGGCCTGACCTGAGCCGACTCAAATGTCGGACTAAGGGCTGGCTTAACATTTACTGATTGTTCAGACTTAAAAAAAGCCTGTCCGGGGCCTTCCCTGAGCCTGACTTGGGCCGGCCCTGGGCCGATGTAACTCTTAAGTGTGATTAGGGTCTATAGTAAGTACTTCGCAGTGAGTGGAAAGGGTTGTGTTTTTTTGCCAGTTTACCAATATACTGTATTGATCCATTTACTAGGGGGTAATGTAATAATAGTAACACTGACCATGATTTTTCTGGCCAAAATAATGAATAAATGATTGAATGACAGGTAGATAAATGAAATTGAATATTAAAACAAGTCTTTATAGATATTCTCAAAATGTATTGTCAAACATGTTAGTACTGTATATTATATCTTCCATGTCACTATAAATTTTATAATAATCAAGTATAGTTAAACAAACACAATACGAAATTGAACGAATTACCCTCTTTTTATTAAGTCAATATTGTAGAAATGAAATAAATAATTTATATGAACAAGACTAGGTTGTTATAGTAAAATTATGAATAGGAGATGACTTAATCTTGCTAAGTATAGTACTATTGTGATAGTTTTTAGGGTATGTTGTAAGAGTAAGCAGTAAAGCCTTTAATGCATAAAGAATCATTTGCTTTTTGTTTATTCATAATTTCTTCAGTTGATTACACTCATTTTTTAAAAGGTATGTTTACCCAGGCTGTGTGTACTGTACTGTACTGAAAAAGGTCACATCTTAGTAACTCATAAGCATTGGTAATCATTTTGTAAAAAAACGTATTTTAACCAAGGTATGATTTACCTTGAAAAAATTAGAAATTATACTGGTGTAAACTTATTTGTAAAAATATAAACTACTAAATCACACGCTCTTCTCTCGATTTAAAATTAATTTTTCTAATGCCATAAACGGTGCTTCTGCACATACTGACAAAATAAAGGCACATGCATACGATAACACAAGATTACTCAGGTAAAAATGCACCATTAGAAAATCAGTGAAATAAATCATATTTGGTAGGGAGACGTAAAAGACAGTTATGATAATAGGATGAATTAGGTAAGCACAGTAATTAATGCGGGCAAGTGGTACCCATGCTGACCAGGAAAGCAGGGAATTCACTGGCCCACCATACCCAGTGGTACAAGCAAATACAACCCATGCAAGAGAAACAGCCCAAGCAAATCGGCATAAAGTGATGTACACAACTGTACCAGCTTTAGTGAGATGGTTGTCATGGAAGTTGCCATAGAGACCATAAACAACTGCAAGACCAATCACAGTTGCAATCACCCATCCCAATATTGTCATAAAAATTGACATTTGAATTCGCCCTCGATATTTGTACAAGATGTATCCAACAGCCATACCTACAAGATACGGGGAAATACGGCTCCATGGCTGGACATAAATTGAATCGGATATAAAATTTAACTGGGTGGGATCCTCTGGGATAAACTCTGTTGTAAGATCATGTTTGATGGATTCTCCTATCAAACTGGAGAAACATGTTAGGAGAAGGATACACCAAGCAGCTACCCCAGCAAAGAAATAGTGATAGAGAAGATAGATAATGAAGGGGCTGATAATAAAGAATTGCATATCATTTGCAAGATACCAACCCCATGCAAGACATTCTCTCAAAAGTTCTGAGGGGTAGAGATTGTTGATGTAGAGTAAATTTGTCCACCAATAATCTTGGCAATATGTTAATTGATTTTCTACACCAGGAGCAGGATTTGGATCAAATGTATATGAGTAAAGCGATCCAGTTCCAAAGTATGGTGTTAAGGTCGTGTAAATGAAAATAACAAGCATATAAACAGGGGTCAGTCGGAGGTATCTATGGACATAAAACATCACCCAGTTGATCCTACCATTATTTTTCTTCATGTAATTTAATGTTAAGTAAGTTACGAGTAAGCCACTTAGGAAGAAGAAGGAATCAACAGAGAAAGTAGCATTGACTATGACTTGGAATGAAAATCGGGCAATCACATCAAATAGTGTTAAAATGTTACTAAATAGTATGGTGGATGAATAAGTATGTCCTAAAATCACCCAAAATAAACTAAGGACCCTAATACCATTGAGGGCTCCCAGACTTCCTTCTCTTTGCTTCGTTTTTAGTATCTTACTACCATTTGTTATCATTGAGAAACACAGAATAAATTGTCCAAAAAAACTGTCATTTTGTGTAATCAAATTTTTTTTCGGTGAAGTCTCACTTGTCATTGAGGTTTCAGCAATGTTCATGTCTCCTTCATTGTTTTTATCATCTATGAAGATAAGTGCAGCTGATTCTTTCCTTCGTTTAGCCAAGTCATAAATGGTACCAATGATTATCATCACACATAAAAGTGCGAGTGTGGTCAGGCAGGCAATAGCAGCTGCTGAATATTCATATACTTTAGTGCATATTGTGTTTGTTACAGTAAAGTCAGTGTCTATACGACGGCTATTTAACAGGCTCGTAATTTGCTCCGCATCACAGCTATTAGGCACGCAGATTCCAATATTCGGACTCGGGAATGAGGCATTTCGATTTACATTGTTCAGAAATACTATGCAGTGTTTGCCTTCGAAGTTTGTTACATTAGAAGACTTTGACTGCGACTGACATTGATCGTAGAGCCCGGGCCATATAATGCTACCTTGAAAAACACCAGGAGGGAGTTTACCGTAAGCATCAACCATCATCAGTGCGTACAGGTCGCCTGCTTGAAGGTCAGAATTAAAATATCCCAGGTCCACGATACACTGAGACGGAGATTCCAGTGTGGTGCTCATTCCAGTTTTGAAATCTTTAGTACTGTGCCCTGCTTTCAACATTTTCGGTGTCATATTTTTAGCGTATCCTAATGAAAGCTGATGTTTAGTAGCAGACTTTATTTCATCAAAGAATTCCTTTTGATTCAGCTTGTGTGATCTCAGCTGATATTCAACTGATTGTAGCATAGGCTGTAGTAAAGTGCTATACACCATACGATCCATGACATCTTCAGCATTTTGTGGTGTCTGTATGTGTTTGCTCTTGCTGAGGAATTCACCAGTGTTAACATGAAATTGAGCATTGCAATAAAAGCTTGCAAATATATAGGTTAATATTACACTCAGTCTCATATTGAAGTACATAGAATAAGCCTCGTCCAAGTGCTAGAAACTATTGAAAGCAAAGTGCAAATAACCAGAACAGGTATGCACAAGCCTATTTTAAGAATTTGTATGCATAATGTAGGTGTATGCAGATCTTATTCATTGATATCATAATGGTTAAAGGTCATCACATGAGGCCTTACATCATGGTTTTAAATAGTCCTTAAACGATACATTACATGCTCATTAAATAGCTCCATGGTGAGAGTGTTATGACACCTTGTGACCAAACTATGTGGCAATTCATATTTATCTAAAGTGTCTCTTTGAATTTACTGTAATAATATCCTAAACAATGTTGAAAAGCTGGCACCCTGGACTAAACATAAAATACAATATCTACTGTATACTAGATGCGGTCTTTTACCAAATGTGTAGTAGTCAGATTTATCTCTCGCAATGAAGTATTTTCGAAATACATATAAGGTTTTTTTTATTTTGAGTGTTTTTGTTTAATTGTAAAAATATGTATCATTTTTTTAAGAACAAAAGTGTCACAAATAGCTTGACAATAAATGTGGTACTACTTTTTATACACCTTGTTTAGTGAATCCGCTGCCTACATATAATGAACATTTTCACGAATAATGATGATTTTCAAATAAAAATTACATTTTATTTTTTGCCAATTGACGTACTGTAGCTGCTGCCATGACAAAAATTTAAATTTTTAGAAAAAAATGAAAGTTTTTCTTTATTTTTTCGATTTCACACATTTCTTAGGCAGAGACCATCACCAAATCGTAAAAAAAATGTTGTTTTAACATTGAAAATGGGGAAAATAATAACATAGCATAATGTATAGCATGATAATGGTTAGTTATGTTTTGACCATTATCTCAGAAACACAATTTGCGGGGAGTGACTGGTTTGGCTTGTCTTTGGGTATGTTAACACACACAGCATAAGACAGGCGTAACTTACCACATCCGTGGCGTTATTATCACTACCTGGAGATTAGTTAATGCCACGGAGTTAACAACAGTGATGCTTGTTGAATGATTTTGACCTCATTTCATGAGATTAACCAATCACGATTAGTTTTGAAATAGATTACATACTTTCCTGTGCTCTCTATAATTGAAAAGCTAAATTGGTTTTTTCTCTATTAAATTTTACTTAGTTTACAATGTTTATGATGTGTTGATTTAGTTTTGTCTATAAAAACCTGCAACACCAACAATAGTTCCACAAAAGTTAAAAAATCAGAAGTAAAATTGTTCATTTAAAATACAGTACAGTAATCCTATAAGTTCACTTCCAACACAGATTTAAAAGTTGTAATTATGCACTGTATACAGTTGAACCCATACATTATCATTATTTAAAACTGAAAACTATTCCCTATAGTATAGGCCTACTATACTAGTTTAAAGCCAGCGTTGATATAGGGAATGCCGTTCTTGTGAACACTTCAGAATTTTGAACCATGAATTAGCTTACGCCGGTGTAAGCTACGCTAGTCTTGCGCTATGTGTGTGAACATACCAATTGACACACAAAAAATTTGATGTGTGGATAGAGCATTTAATAATCAATAGCTACCAATGTCTTTATGGGTACCTGCTAGGGTGTTGTGCAGTAGCCCCCTTATGGGTACCTGCTAGGGCGTTGTGCAGTAACCACCAGTGAGTTTATAGGTACCTGCTAGGGTGTTGTGCAATAACCACCAATGCGTTTATGGGTACCTGCTAGGGTGTTGTGGCATTGTGTGTATTAATCATTGCATAAAACGTCAAGTGCGACTAAGTACTTCCCAAGGAGTGGAGGGGGTTGCATTTTTTGCCACTTTTGCCAATATTCTGTATTGATCCATTCACCATGGGTAATAATAATATCATTGACCTTGATTTTTATTGCCAAAATAATGAATAAATATTTGAATTACAGGTAGGTAGATAAATGAAATAGAAAGAATACTAAAACGAATCTTTATAGATATTCTCAAAATTTATTGCCAAACATGCCAGTACTGTGTATTATATATTCCATGTCAGTCTATAAACTTTATATTAAAGTATACAGTTGTTATCAAAAACAATACAAAATTTAACGTATTACCCTCTTTTTGTTGTCTAAGTAGAAATTAAATCAATATTTTATATGAAACAGGTTGATATAGTAAAATTATAAATAGGAGAGGACTTAATCTTTCTTGCTAAGTACTATTGTGATAATTTTTAGGGTATGTTGTAACAGTAAGCAGTAAAGCCTTTAAATACACAAAGAATCATTCGTTTATTCATAATTTTTTCTGTTGATTATACTCATTTTTTTACAAAGTGTGTTTACCCAGGCTGTGTGTACTGTAAGTGAACTATACTGAACAAGGTCATATAGTAGCTCATAAGCATTGGTAGTCATTTTGCATTCAATATTTTAACCAAGGTACTATTATTTCATCCGAAAGAAAAAAGAAATATACCGGTGTAACTTAATTGTAAAAATGTAAACTCCTAAATCACACGCTCTTCTCTCGATTCAAAAGCAATTTTTCTAATGCCATAAACGGTGCTTCTGCACATACTGACAAAATAAAGGCACATGTGTACGATAACACAAGATTACCGAGGAAAAAATACACCATTAGAGAATCAGTGAAATAAATCATATTTGGTAGGGAGACGTAAAAGACAGTTATAATAATAGGATGAATTAGGTAAGCACAGTAATTAATGCGGGCAAATGGTACCCATGCTGACCAGGAAAGCAGGGAATTCACTGGCCCACCATACCCAGTGGTACATGCAAATACAACCCAGGCAAGAGAAACGGCCCAAGCAAACCGGCACAAAGTGATGTACACAACTGTACCACCTTTACTGAGATGGTTGTCATGGAAGTTGCCATAGAGACCATAAACAACTGCAAGACCAATCACAGTTGCAATCACCCATCCCAATACCGTCACAAAAATTGATATACGAACCCGTCCTCGATATTTGTACAAGATATATCCAACAGCCATACCGACAAGATACGGGGAAATACGGCTCCATGGCTGGACATAAATTGAATCAGTTGTAAAAGTTAACTGGTTTGGATCCTCTGGGATAAACTCTGTTGTAAGATCATGTTTGATGGATTCTCCTATTAAACTAGAGAAACATGTTAGCAGAAGAATGCACCAAGCAGCTACCCCAGCAAAGAAATAGTGATAGAGAAGATAGATAATGAAGGGGCTGATGATAAAGAATTGCATATCATTAGCAAGGTACCAACCCCATGCAAGACATTCTCTCATTAGTTCTGAGGGGTAGAGATTGTTGATGTAGAGTAAATTTGTCCACCAATAATCTTGGCAATATGTTAATTGATTTTCTACACCAGGGGCAGGATTTGGATCAAATGTATATGAGTAAAACGATCCAGTTCCAAAGTATGGTGTTAAGGTTGTAAAGATAAAAATAACAAGCATATAAACAGGGGTTAGTCGGAGATATCTATGGACATAAAACATCACCCAGTTTAGCCTACCATTATTTTTCTTCATGTAATTTAATGTTAAGTAAGTTACGAGTAAGCCACTTAGAAAGAAGAAGGAATCAACAGAGAAAGTAGCATTGGCTATGGCTTGAAATGAAAAACGGGCAATTACATCAAATATTGTCAAAATATTACTATATAGTGTAATGGAGGACGAATAAGTATGTCCTAAAATCACCCAAAATAAACTGAGGACCCTAATGCCATTGAGGGCTCCCAGACTTCCTTCTTCTTGCTTCGTTTTCAGTATCTTACTACCATTTGTTATCATTGAGAAACACAGAATAAATTGTCCAAAAAAACTGTCATTCTGTTTAATCACATTTTTTTCCGATGCTGCCAGTAATGGTGAAGTCTCACATTGATTGTATGTTGCTGAGGTTTCAGTGATGTTCATGTCTTCTCCATTGTTTTTATCATCTACAAAGATAAGTGTAGCTGATTCTTTTCTTCGTTTAGCCAAGTCATAAATGGTACCAATGATTATCATGGCACATAAAAGTGCGAGTGTAGTCAGGCAGGCAATAGCAGCTACTGAATATTCATATACTTTAGTGCATATTGTGTATGTTACCATATAATCAGTGTCTATAGGAAGGCTACTTAACAGGCTCTTAATCTGCTCTGCATCACAGCTATTAGGCACACAGATTCCAATATTTATACTCGGGAACGGTGCATTTGGTTTTACATTGTACAGAAATACTATGCAGTGTTTGCCTTTGAAGTTTGTTACATTAGAAGACTTCGACTGCGACTGACATTGATCGTAGAGCCCAGGCCATGTAATGCTACCTTGAAAAACACCAGGAGGGAGTTTACCGTAAGCATCAACCATCATCAATGCATACAGGTCACCTTCTTGAAGGTCAGAATTAAAATATCCCAGGTCCACAATACACTGAGACGGAGATTCTGGTGTGGCGCTCAATGATTCAGTTGTGAAATCTTTAGTACTGTGTCTTGCTTTCAACATTTTCGGTGCCGTATTTTCAGCGTATCCTAATGAAGGCAACTCTTTAGTAGCAGGCTTTATTTTATCAAAGAATTCTTGTTGATTCCGCAACTTGTGTGATCTCAGGTGGTATTCAACGGATTGTAGCATAGGCTGTAGTAAAGTGCTATACACCATATGATCCATGACATCTTCAGCATTTTGTGGTGTCTTTATGCATTTGTTCTTGCTGAGGAATTCACCAGCCTGCTGCTCATTGTTAACATGAAATTGAGCATTGCAATAGAAGCTTGCGAATATAAAAGTTAATATTACACTCAGTCTCATATTGAAGTACATATAGTAAACCTAGTCCAAGTGAGAGAAACTATTGAAAGCCAAGTGTAAATAACCAGAACAGGTATGCACAACCCTATTGTAATATTGTATGCATAGTTTCACTTCATTGTCATAAAGGTTGTCACATGAGGCCTTGCAATACATCATGGTTTTAAATAGTTAGTAATCGATGCATTACATTTTCATTAAAAATGGCTCAATGATGAGACTGTTTATACAACAACATGTGACTATATTATGTGGCAATTCACATTATTAATAACCAAGTGTCTTTTTTTTATATAATAAAATAATCTAAACTCATGTACTTATAGCCAGGTTAGAACGTAAAAACATAAGTATGTGTACTTTAAATTCTTTAAAACAATCTTAAGTTAATGTATGATATCATAGGATGTCTATAGTAATCCTAATCGTTAATTGATCATCACTCTTACAAGCGTCTAAATTTCAAATGCCTTGAAGGGCTATCAGGTTCTATAGAACTTTCATAAACCAGACTATGGAAATTTGGTTCAATTACAGATTATGGAAATATGTTATTGTTATTCATCATTAAGCCAGGAAGTCATAAAGCCGTACATAGTACAACAAAAAAAAAGCATTGTCATCGATTATTGGCAATCATAAAAAGCTGCCCTGGAGAAAAAATTAACATATACAATTGCTAATATACTACAGTTAAATGCTCTCTTTTTACCAGATGTGTTGCAATAACGGTAGTTGGATTGATCACTCCCATTTTCGAAATACACATTTAAGAGATGTTTTTATTTTATTTTTTTATTTTTTGAAGAAAAGAATAATAATATATATTAATACTTGCGGTATACCACGTAGATAGTTCTGAAAAGAATATCTTGATGTTTCTATTGAGTTGCTTCAGTTGTCTTCAGGAGAATATTAGGGACTTTTAGATTTGCACGCCGACATAGTGGACTGCTACGTGATGAGGTCATTTTAAGGCACTGTGCATGCGTTACGTCGTCCTCCTCGTCCACCACCAAAATCGAGAACGTGTTCACCTCGTTTTTCCCGTCGTCCTAAATCTAGGACGCCGTGCTCGCTTGTGAAGTTTAAAGATGGAGGATGAAAATATAGTGGCAACTCTGCCTTCACTAGTTCGTCCAACTGAGGCAGAGACAGAGTCTGGGGGAAGTTTCTAACTTGTGTTGAATTAATCTGTATTATTTGCTTTTTAATGCACAGGCAGTTATGTAATTTCTACTGCCTTCGTAAACACAAAAAAAGGCTGTGGAAGTTCATGAGCGTGCTTACGCCAGTGTGCATGCAATGCAAACTTGCACCGCAGCGAGCGCAGCCGGCCGGGGAGGCCTGTTAACTATCTGCATAATCACAGTTGACGCACCGGATGCGCCCTGAAGTATGCATTACATTCATCATTGTTGTACTTGTCTAGATCAAATTTCTGATAATCTCGGTACCTGAATTCGGCATTTTTGGGTTTATTTGTATTGTATAAAAACATGAATTCCTCATCGTCTAAGACACCTGTAGAACATGTAGAATATGCAAAGACGACAATTTCGCGAAGTCGATGAAGGTTCGCCATGACACAGCTGCTTAATAAGGTTGCCTAGCGCGCGCTACATGTCGACTGAAATCTAAAAGGTTTTCATTTGTAGTCAACAGGTATAGTTGACTACGTTGACACGCATGACTAGTCGACGTGAACCAGGTCCACGTCCACACAATCTAAATCCATTATCTCATTATCTCAATTTGCGAGGAGTGACTGGCTTATCTGTGCCACATATGGACATTTCACATAACATTTGATAATAATAGTTAATAATAATAATAGTGTAGTTTTTATATGGCTCCATATCCATCAAATAAGATGCTCAGGGCACTTGATATGTGAACTAGGAACTCGATCAATTACTTTCTAGCCCCAAGGCTATGTTCACACACACACGGTGTAAGGCTGGCTTAAGCATGGCGTAGCGTTCGCCTTTGTGTGTGAACTAGGCAGTGGCGTTGTTAAAGCCACTCACTACGCCACGTCCTTGGCGTTATTAACGCTACCTGCAGACCCCAGATTAGCTAACACCACTGAGCTAACACCAGTGATGCTTGAATGATTTTACCTCATTTCAAGAGATTGACCAATCACGATTGCAATATTAGCTACTTTGGTCTCTTTCCTGTGCTCTCTATAAATGAAATGGTAAAGGGGTTCTTTTTCTATTGC